TTTTTTTTTAAATTTCACTTAAGTAGTAAAAATAGAATTTTTTTTTAAAGATTTTTGGAATTTATTCTACTTTTTACTCTTTTTAAAAAGGAATTTAGGTCAAAAATGTCTAAAAAAAAAGTTTTCTAATTACATTTGAATGTACATACATATATACATATAAAAGGTTAGCGGAGTAAGTAGGTATTCCTTAATGTATATGTATGAATGTGTTTTTCTTTTACATGGAAATTATACTAGAATGTCTACAGTTTATTATTGTGAAAATTTAAGTTTTTTTTTAAACTGAAATGTATATGAATTTCAATAAAAAACTTTTCTTATAAATTCTTTTTGATTCCATTCAAAAATTAAAAAAAAAAGGTTTTTGTTGGATAATTTCCAAATTAAATAGATTTCCATGCCCAAATAAGAAAGAAATACGGTGAAAATATGATTTGTTAGAGTTGGTTGATAAATTAAGGAATGTAATCGCTCCACATTCTTTTAAAGCTTATATAGAATTCAGATTACGAGTCACACAGACCTTAAAGTCCTTAGAATAGAGGAAATGCTTTAATGTAATATGTTATATAGACTTTTTATATATGAAATCATTGTTGGGAATTAAGCATTTAATTATTACGTATACAATTTGAATAATATTGCTCATTTGCAAGAAGTGAGTAAAAAGAAGAAAATTGCTTATTGCTTTGAATTAACTTAAGATGTACAGAACAGAAGAAGCGTGTATGGTACAGGCATGCGAAAATACAACACAATGAGTTATTGACTAAGTATTAAGTTTTCAAGCAGCAAAATTTTATTAACATTTCTAGGTACTTAACTATTTCAAATAAGCTTTGTACTGTTTGAACAGAGTTTTCTCGCTATTCTTACATATCTTTGTTGATTTTATCTTCATGTTATACTATGATTCCATTCCAATTTTGTATTTCTATTTCACGATGATTACCAGATTAGTTAAACGATTATTAAATAATTTATTATCCCAATTCCCTATATTTATTTTACGATTATCGAAAACAAAAATATCCTTTCATAAAATTTATAAATTCTTAATCTTATTAGACAATTTTATTTTATTTATTTTTCATTAAAAATTAAATTTTATGTGTTATATAATAATTATGCTGAATATTGATGACATTTTTATATTATATAATATAATAGCAAAAATAATTAAGTGTATATAAGACCCATTATCAATTAAAAAGAAATAATAAATTTTGCCCCTTTCTTATAAAGTTTTCGTTGGGATTTTTTTATCCTTTTTATAAAAATTGAAAGATGCTATATACTCATTTTGTCTTTTTTTTCTGTTTTGAAAGCAGAATTTGTATGTTTTGAACCCTAAAAAAGTTCAAGTACCCACTATATATGTATACTGAGCAATGTTTATATAAATGAATGTATATAATATTTCATTGAATGTATGTGTGTACGCGGTGTTAATTAAAAAGCATCTAAATGTATATTTTTATATACTATGTGGATGATTGTGTTAATTCATTAAATGAATTAAATCAATTTCTTTCAATAATTTTTAACACTTATAGAGCCATTTTTATTATTGTAGAAGTATAGTGCATAGACATAAAGTGTGTATGAACATATTACGTATATGTAAAACAAAATGTATAGTTATGTGAATATTCGCCTATATAGAATTTTGCGATGGTATTTTTCTACCCTTTATACTTATTTTTAATGTATGGAAATTCACGACAAAAAGATTTGGTAACATACAGAATTGCTCTATACTAAAGACCAGCATTTAATTATGATCCTTTCTACAATTATTATTTTTTTTTATTTCAACTTCCATTGTTTGGGGTTTTCCTTTTTTTTTATAAAGGAATCTTTATGAAAACGACTTTTCTTTTTTATTATTCTTTGAAAAATATTTCTTTTCATTGATAGTGTAATGGTTATTAAAACCTTGATAACCAGGAATTTCTTTTTTCAAAAATTTATGAATAAAAATATGTTTTATATGTGTATAAAATGTATATGTTTTATATGTAATGAAAATATTCATATGCATGTAAAGAACAGGATGTTTAATAGCTCATTTTGTAACATATACGTGAATTGTAGCTCCAAACATTAGAATGTATCAGAAGATATAAGACATAAAATTTGAGAATAGTCTAAGAAAGTTCGGATTGTTTTGACATATTAATTTTAAATATAGGTGTTATTTACATTTCTAAGAGTAAATAACGTGCATATTCTTTAAGTCTTTAAGTTAGAGAGCTATGTAATTGTTGAGTTATTACTATAAAACTATAAATATTTTCATTCAAACACTATGCTAAGCGAACTTTGTAATATTTTATATTTTTGACTCATTTGCCTGAGTGTGCATTTGCCTGAGTGTGATTTGCCATCTGTATAAGATATAAAGTTTTCACCATATATAAGTTTGTCTCAAAAATAATTGCGTAACACTCTGTATTGAGAAAGCAAAAAAAAGAAATCCGTACGTAATGGCAACAAAATAGTAACAATCACAACAATAAACAACAACCAGAAATTATGTTAAAAACAGGCAAACAAGCAGAAAAAAATTAAATCCTGTTTTTTTTTTTCCATTTTTTTTTGTATTTTTTTTTTCTTATTTTTTTAAAAACAATTAAGGGGTGAGAAATATTTTGTATATAGTTTTTATTTTCGTGGTTGTCGCTATTTTGCCGCCATTATTGCTACATACTTATGTATGCTTTTTACTTATAGCCGTCAATAGTATAATCGTACAATTTTATATACATAAAATTTTGTAAGTATTTACAAACATGTACATACTCGTATATGTACAAATGTATCTATTGCAAGTATTTTATTTTTAAAAAATAATATTTTTAAGTTGAAGCAGAAATTTTATGCTTTTGTTCCTTTTGTTGAATTTTTGATTTCAAGTGTTCATAAAGTTTCATATTTTCTATATAATTTGTGTTTGCTTTGATATAAAATCCTTTCCATATATGTGTCCTTATGTATTCGTATGTTTATATGTGTATTAAATATTTACATATGTATGTACATATGTGTCATATATTATTCGTTTATGAACTTTTACAAAATCTTTTAGAAGAAAGTGGAAAAATAGTGGGAACAAAATAAACGCATATTTTCTATTAAGAAAATAACATATGGTTTCACTTAAAATACATTTTCCATCTTAAGAGGAAGGGGTAGGGTGTTGATTATGTGTTTTTTGTTTTCTTTTAATGGAAGCGAAGAAGAAATTAAAATAGAAAGTATACGATTGATAATTGTAAATGAAGAGGAAAACCATTAAATAAAAGGAATCTTAATATAAAAAATTGTAAAAATTAAAGATATAAAAAACTAAAATGCTTCAATAAACCGTTAAAAAAACACAATCATACTTACATTTTATAAATTATAAAATTTTTATCCGGAAATTTCCACTAACCGAAATATATTTTTTAATTAGTGTTTTGTATTCTGTTCTTGTTCTGATTCAGTCGAATGGATTATTAGTAAATATGAATTTCAAACAGTTACCAGATCAGTTCCTAGACTTATTTGTAAGAAGTCATAACATAATATTATGTAATTTGTTTTCCAAATAAATAATAGGTATGTATGTGTTAATTAAATGTTTATGCCGACGCATGTATGTGCAAATTATATTCTTAAGTCGAGTTTTAGTTCAAACTCAAGGTGTAGTGCAGTACATGTACTTGAATTCTCTGCATTTAAATCTTTTCTCAATTAAATAATTATCTAAATTCCACAAATTCAGTTTAAATTTTTCTGTTAAAAATGATTTTAAACAGTTGTGCTTTATTATCATTTAATTATATGTAAATGTACATAGTATGTAGATGTTTTAATAAATACAATATGTTCATCGGTACATGCATTAAATGGTACCCCTTCTATTAGATACTGTCATTATTATTTAATACAAATGATAGCATCTTAAATGATTTACGATCTTTTTACCTAGCAAACAAAAACAAATTTCGAAGCTGTTTAAATGTCAATATGACTTAAATAGTATTAAAGGATAAATTATGTTTAAAAGGATATACTATTTTTTTCGAATCTAACTTTTGAGATCTAAAGGTTAAAAAATATATTTAATTTACCTTTGTAAAACTATCGTAATGTAATGCCAATTTCACTTTTGACATATAATTAATGATATAAATATTCTTAATGCAATGTAATGACGTAAAACACTGGTAAACACTTAACAAATTAAATGTCTTAAATATTTTGATTAATAGCAACAAACATGTTATAACATTTCTTCTATATGTTTTCGTGTTTGTCATTATTAGATAGAGTTTTAGAAATTCTTACTTTAAAATTTTGTTCAATTCAATAATTCAAATTCATTTCACTTCTAACTTTTTCTTATATTCTCTTCTTTAATTTCGTTACTTTTTCTCCCTCCGTTCTAAGAGAAATTATTTCTTTTGGAATTCTCTACTGGTATACAATTTAATTACGTTAAGTGTTAAAAACAATATTTTATAAGATTATAAGACTATGTAATGTATTATACAGTGCATGTATACATATTTAGGAATAGTGTGTTTACTTTTATATAATTACGCTTGAGTATATAACATAGGACTCTGGAAATTATAATCGCAAATATTATTTAAGAAAGGAGGCATGTAAGCGATAGGATTTTGTGTGCTCATATGGTCGTAGTACATACAAATATTGTCAACATGTATGAATCTGTACTATAAAAATTTATGAAAAAAAATATGTGCACATGAATATGTATTAATGCATATTTAACTGATAAACAAGAACAAAAATTCTTTTTCTCCTTATAATTTTAAGTAATTATTATATATTGTGATTTATAGACTACAAATATTGATAATAATACTAATTAATTTTTTTTTCTTTTTGAATATTTATAAAAATTAATTTTATTTTTTCAAACAAAAGAACTGTTTTAATTTAATAATATAAGAATAGTAAAAAATGACATAAATACCAACCCGTTATTATTATTCCTATTATTGTTACTATTACTATTTCTATTGCTATTATTATTCGTGTTAGTGGTATTGTGGTTATTATAATTATTATCGTCATTAGTATTATTATTATAGCTATTATTATTATTATTATTATTGTTTTTATTTTTATTATTGCTATTATTTATATTACTAATACTATCGATACTATAACTGTTACTATATTTATTATCATTATTATTATTCTTATTATTAATTATACCGCTATTACTTCTTGTTAATTCTATAATTTCGGCAACCGGTTCTATTGAAATTTCTGGTTCTGTTATGTCTGCTGTAGCAGAATTTTTTTTATCGTTGCCATGATTTTCATTATTTTTATTATTATTTTCGGTTTCCGATGATAATGATGATGATGATGTTAACGATGAAGATATCAAAGTCGTTGAGAATGATGATTTTGGACTTAATAATATCAAAGAAGAAGATGATGGGTTGGCTAGAACACGGGTGATATGGCTGCTGGCGCTGCTATAGCATCCATATATCATTATAAAAATCCATAAAATTTTATACTGACGCAATTTTTTTCTCATTTTTAAATATTGAAAAATTAATCTTTTTGTTGCTTGGTATTTTCCTTTTTTTTTTCTTTTAATATTTGTTTATTATATATTTTCCACAAAATATGTAGAAATTGTGTATTTCGAGGGTATATTATAAATAAATGTGTATATGTAAAGTTACGTATTTATAAATGTGTGTGTATACATATATAAGTGAGTATGTAGATGTTTATGTTACAAAAAGAAATATATAGTAGCTATGATGATATTTTTTATACTTCTTTTGTTATTTATTTAAATGATTTTTTTTAATTAAATTTCATCCTTTTTTTGAATATTCTTTATTAAATTAATTTAATTTTTTAAAGATTTTTATAACACAATATCCAATATGTAAATATTTTTTTAATACAATTTAATTTCAATTCTTCTTAATTATTTGTGTATAAAATATTTTTAATATCATTTTTGCATGTGTATATATTATGAATTACATATCTTTTTGTATGTGAATAGAATAAATATTAAATTTTTTTTTTGTTTTAAATATTAAATAAAAGGAATAATGAAAATAGGAAAAAAAGAGAAAGAAAAACAAACTTTTATCATGAAAATTTCACATATTCTTTTATTTTATTTGTCATTTATAAGAAAATTTTTCATTTATTTTTTTTCAATTTCAAAAAATTTTCATTTTGTTTTCAATTATAAAAAATTTATCTTATTTTTAATTTTTTTAATCAATAATAATTTGGAAATTTTCTATTTATTTAATTCACTTTATTTTAATTTATTTTTTATTATTTTTTGTAGACGAACCGACGACCATACCAAAGGTGAAATTTAGAACCTTCTTTTAGCTTGTATGTTAAAATAGAACTGAAGAACTAACTACAATACAACTCTGTGAATTCCTCGCATTTTTGTTTTTTCTATAGTTGTGTGTGTGTGTGTTTCTAGATGTATGCAGCATTATTCATTAATACTATAGAAAATATACAATTTCATTTTAAGCATTGAAATATGCAATTCCTAAATTCACAAGCAGCCAAAAAGGAATTCTTTCTTGATTCTTATATTCATTTTATAACACAAATACATACATAGAAAAAGAAAACAAAAAAAAAACAAAAATTGTTCATGTATTTGTGTTGACTTTATAATTGTATGTGTTTTCTGTATATTTATTTATTATTTTCATTTGGTGTACCTTTTATGTTGTTATTTATGTTGCGTATGGAAATATGCTATGCCTATATTTAGAACTTTATTTGTTGTTGTTTCTTCAGAAATATTGTTAAGTATAAATTTTATGTGTTAATTCAATCGGAGTAAATTAACTACAATGTTTAGAAACTGGATTCATTAATAAATTCTATATGGTATATGCTAATTTTGTTTAATGTTAAAATATTTTAATTCATCTATGGTGAGCAGGCTATTTAATTCATCTTGGCATTTTGTCATTTTTTATTCAAATATTTTCTGTTAAATTGTTAAAAAATTTTAATGTTATATTTTTTATTGAACTTTTATCATAAGATAAAGCAAGAAAAAAGCTAATAATTGGCGAATAATTAACTAAAATAAAATAAATTTTATGAACTTTAAAGAACTGCGTTGTTTTGCAAAAAAGGAAATGCTTTGAAAGCGGCATCGAATTCTCATAAAACAAAAAAAACGTGAACAATTTTAAAAGTTTATATTCCAAATTGGTAAAAGAACCCCTTTTTGGATGGAATTTTTATTTTAGCATTTTTTCTTAAAATTGAGCACTTTGGCAATGACATAAATTGAAAATTGTATGTTATTTCGAACTTTTTCCGAGTTTTATTTTATTTTTGTACGTGGATGTACATATTTTTTGAAAGAAATATTTAAAATAGTGTAGGTACGAATTTTACTCAAACGATTAAATTATGTATACATAATATAAATCAGTGTATAAGATCTTCAATAAATTCTATTGAAGATATCTAAGAAGATAATAAATGTGTTTATATAGTATAAGGTATTTATATATGTATAGGTATAAACCAATACACGTTAAATATTTATGTTTGCGACAATGTAATAAGAACAAAACTGTTATACCCACATTCATTTTCAATTTGTAGAACTACCTCGAAAATTTTTACCTTGCACATTTTCGTTGAAATGTAATCTGATAATGAACATTGAAACAAGTCATGGTAGCATAAAGAGAAAAATTAATTAGTATTGGTAAACAATGAAAAATTTTTAAGATTCTTAAAAGAAATAATGTAAAAATGTGACTACTTCAGTTTTATGCTCATATATTTTATGGCTTTGTGAGTTTTTGAATTATGTCCCAAAAAAAGATTAACTTTGAATATCTGTGTTTATTTAAAATATTATAAAAGACTAACTATTAATATTCATTAATTTTTAATTAAATAGATGTAGGCAAATGGGTTTAAAAATAATTTTTAATTTAAAAGAACGTCTTATCAAATTTAAATAAGTTGAATTCCATTGCTTCATATTTAAATCAAAGATTTAATCATTAATAATAAGATTAACGTACTAACGAAGTTTTATCAACAACATCACTGAGCTAAGATAACGGTCACTGATAATATCATAGGAATCCACCTACACATATCAAAATAAAAAAATAAATCATAACTAATTGCAGACGGTTTTTTTTTTGTTTTGTTTAATGGAAAAAGTGAATAAAACGAGAAAAATTGAGATTTATTCACATACGGTATACATTTACACGCATATATATATGCATGTGCACAAGTTAAAGTAGCGATATTTTAAGTTTTAATAAAAACTAAATGCCGCGAGAAGAATTTATGTGGGTAGTATGTTTTCACTCAGATAGTGAAGTATTGTGACTTAATGCGCTTGTGCAGTAACAGTAATATTGTAATACAAGAGTAGTGGTCTCTACGTATATATATACTATGTATATGCTCATAGTATATATATACTATGTATATATATACTATGTATATGTATACGTAAGTGTTTACTATTAAAATACAATGACACAAAATAAACTATGACAGTGTTCAAAAAATTTTCCCCTTAAAATATATAACAATTATAGTAATTTCGAATTTCTGCAATCATAGAAAATGAAAAATTCCGTTATCAATAATTTTAATGACATGTAAATATTATTCCTTTTAAAATACGAATAAAATTATACAAAATTCTGTATAGAAAAAGAGTTTGAAATAAAAAAAATAAATGAATAACAATATAGCGGTAGTTTCTGGACATTCAGCTTTTACTATTTTGAATGTTTTCTGTAAATTTCGAGAAAAAAAGATTTGCCCATTTAATTTTATTTTGTCTGCCCGCATGTACGTCTGTTTACAAAACTTGTACAATACACTAATTAGAAGAAAGTTGAAATTTTACATTGTTTTTGAAGTAAATGCCATTAAAAAATTTTGAAACAAAGAAAGATTGAAAAGTATTTTTGCTTTATTGGAAAAAATTCATCAGCATATACCACGCTTCAAGCTAATCTGTTTTTCCCAAATCGGTTTTTCGCAAATTTAAAAGTGATTGTCCTCTAACATATTAACTTAGATCAGTTTTAAATTTTAACGGTTTGTTAGTATTGTAACACACTTAATTTTACTAGAACAAATTTTCAGTAATTTTAATTCCTTGTTCTTTTAAGTTTATTCAAATTTCTAAAATTAAAAAATGTCAATTTTTTATCGACTATATATATTTTAGGTATCATATTATGCTTCATTGAATTTCATTTTAAAAGCAGGAATGTAACATTAAAAGCGCAATGTAGTCATTTTATCAAATATCCTTATAATTCAATTAAATTATTTATCAATTTAAATCAATCTTTATATTAATCAGGTCTGTCGTTTGATTATTAAAAGAGGAACATTTGATTGAAAAAATCAAAAACGGAGCACTTTTGAAGAGAGATCAAAAAAATAAAATATGAATAGCAAAAGTTATTTCTTTTAATATGCAAATCAGCTCAGAATTATAAAAACAGAAATAAATTGCAGCTCAGAAATAGAACTTAGATATATTAGATACAATTTTAAACTATAATTACAAAGAAACTGTAAATAGGTTTATTAGGATGAGCCACCAATTTGCACTAAAATTCTAATCATTTTATTGACATTCAATTGTTTTCTAAAATAATTTTACAGGGCTCCCAATTCTTTTGCGAAGAGTTTACTAATTTGGTATAAATTCAAAGTAATTAATGACATAGTTCATTGCATCATGTTTGGAAATTTGAAAAGCATATGAAGCAAGAAGTATATAAAACATAGAAGGAGCATAATAGTACGTATCATAAAATAGGAATTCAAAAACTTCGATCGGAGTTTAACGGCATCTTTTATATTAATACGCGTGTATGAAAAATAAAAATATATTAGTTCAAGTATCATCCGAAAAATATGCAATATTACATATAGAGAATATTATTGGCAGTAAGAGAATTATTTCAACATAATATCCGTTGCATAATTAAAAATTTAAACTAAATAAATGGAAGCTTAAAATAAATCTTAGCACACACATATTTTCACATACCATTGTAGTAAAAAAAAATTCACTTCATGTATTATTTCAATGTGTTATTTCAAATAAATTCATTAATGTATTATCAAATGATGTTGATGATGATGTTTTTATAGCTTTCAGTTTGTTTAATGTCATTTATATGTACGATTTTTTTCGTCTTGTTTTTTATACTCGGGAAAATTAAAGCTCAAAAATTTTGTTTTTCACTGTTTTCAATAATAGTTTTAGTTTTGATGACTTATTTGAATTATTCCTATATGTGCGACTAATAGAAACCCTATAAAAGGATCAAATAGTAGGAAAGGGAATGTCATACTTATTATTGTATTTTAAATTTTAACTTCTATTTTTTTTTTTGAATAAATGATAAAATAATTTTATAAATCTTTCTTGTTTTAATTATCGATTCTTTTTTTTTCTTTTTATGTTTTAGTGCTTTACAAGCGGTTTTATTGCAAATAGGTCGATTGCATAAATTTCACAATAAACAATGGTATCAAAAGGGTCAATAGGTTCAAAAGTCTCCTTAAAATTATATAAAACATTACACAAATATATGTATGTTCTTGTATAAAACACATAAATTTATTTACATATAAATGCTATAAGTGCTAGACCCACGTTTGTGTAAATATATTATGTTATATGAAAATAAATATATTTATAGAATTGTAATAGGTGTAAAGTAGTGGAAGTACGATAATAAAAATAGGATTTTCTTTTTTTGGAGCATTCACCTTATTTTTTATTATGTTGATAGATAGTTTTTGATTAAATTTTACTTTTGAGACCAATTTTAATGCAAATTTAATGGATTTGTTTTTATTTTCTATTTATGTAGATATTATATATTTACTTTAAATTTTATATTTATGTTGGGGGAATAAAATATGCGTGTTATGTTTTCTACTTTTTTTGATAATATAAGGAGTTTAAAAATCAGAGATATCGAAAATATTGCAGAAAGGTTAAGGGTGTAATTATTTAAAGCATCTTAAAGGTAGCTCTGAAGTTGCAAATTGCCAATAAAAATTAGAAATTTTATGACAAATTATAATGACAAATTTCATTTGAATTATAAAGTTTTTTAAAATATATTTTTTTATTTGTTGGTTCTTTATTAAGAGTATTTTGTAATGTGTTAATATAAAAAAATATTGAATAAATTTTAATAATAATTAGGCTGAATATAATTGTGATGATATTTTTCTCACAATGGAAAATTTAAAAAATTAAATTTATTTCTCTATTATTTAACTTTTGTAAATTAACTTTATAATTTAACTTTAATTAATCGATAATTCGATAACTGTACAAAATTATAATGTTTATTATTTTTCCATTTAACTATGATTCAATTTAACTCAATTTCATTGTTTAATGTTATACAATTAATACAAGTAGTTTATTATAACTATAATGATTGGAAAATACCTACAGCAATTTAAAAATTTAGTATTTTAATTTTTAATATTATAAATATATGTTATAGTAAATTTAATTTCAATTCTATAAATTTCACGGAAAGTGAAGTTAAGATTCTTATTTAATATTTTTAATTTTCGTATTTCTTATTTTCGGATTTAAATAATTATATTGAAATAAATGAATTAGATTGAATTAAAATATAATGTATATTCAATATAAAGTGTGTTGTTAAGTTCAGCCGAACCTCTTCGTTTCATTTCCCAGATATATTTTTATTCTTTTAAAGTTACTAAAATTACATTGTAACAATCATTTCCATACATAATGCTTCTTCAGCCTAGTATAAAATAAATTTTTTTTAACAAAAATTTCCCCCCTTAACTTTTAATATTATATTATATGATTTTAGATTATGATTTATATATTCAATATGTTAATCTTTAAAAAGGTCTAACAAATTTTATTAAGTAATCTTAAAATATTCAATCATGCTAGTTCAATTATTACCATTTTGTTATTACAATAAAAAAAAATTCCATTCATAAGAATTTTTATATCAAATTTAATCAGCCAACGTCTGTTCAATTGTAATTTGCACAAGACAATTTAGTTTGTATTTAATTAACTTACAAATAAATACATATACTGCATATGCAATGCTATAACTACAATTATGTATACACATTTATTATATATTATATGAGGGTCTCAGAAGCAGAGATTATAATATTGCAAATATAAGTATGTATTTCAATTTATATCTAGTTGTATCCAATTAAATAGCGTTGGAATAGCACGGAGCAATTAATCTGACATATTAGAGTTAAAATATTAATAAATTAATAAATCATTTTACCACACTAAGAACGCGCTTATATATACTAATTGAAATCTTTAATTACTTGAAAATTTTCATCAGTATCAATGAAATGACTAATATGAAATTATTTAATATGTATATGGAAATTTTCTAAAAGGTGTTTTTATGTAGAAAATTTAAATTGTAGATTTTGTGGTCTTTTAGTATACAAATTAACATAAAGTATTCCTATATCTATTACAAAAATTTATATATACATATTTGTATGTATTTAAATATTTTGTCAACGTATGTGGGTTTTATTGAAAACAAAAGGGAGTAATAGATAGAATTTAATAAATTCATTAAAAAATTGTTGTACTTTTAATTGAATGAAATAAAAAATTTTTAAAATTCATAGATTGACACAGGCTAACTGTTGTTTGCTGTTTTATAAGAACAAACTTTTATAATGTGAAATGATACCAAATTGTTAGAAATGATAAATAGATGTCAATGTCATTGAAAGTTTTAAAATAATCATAGGGAACACTACATATTTTCATTGTAATTTACTCATAATTAATTTTTTGAGTTGTTGTATTGCTTAAAAATATATTTTAGTAGCTTAATTCATAATTTGTATTGACCAAATTGAAGAAATGCAAATATATCAAGATAAATCGTATACATATATGATAATCTAATATAAAACTGCGTCGCAATATATATATATAAATATTGTGTATATGGAAAAAACCTGAATTCAATAATTAAAGTCTAAGATTAGCTGAATTTAATTTTATTACTGTTGCACTCAAGGTAAATTATATTTATTATGTATAAAAAACATAATTTTAATCCTAAGTATGTTAAAATTCGTGACTATGAATAAAAAAAGTTTGTAATTTATAGATAATCAAAGTTGTTGGAGAACATTTTTATTGCACATACACCATTAATAAATTTTTAAAGAAAGACGCTTTTCTTATATCCTTGATTTTTTTACTTATCAATTTCAAAGCATCTATAACAAAAATGCTAGACTCTTTGTCTCCACTTTAAAATAACAAATTCAAAAAATTAACAATTAAAAGCTTTTTTCACATTTTTCAAAAGCAAAACTAGAAATATTTCTTTATTAATTGAATATTTTGCGCTTCTGTGACAACAAACAATTTAAGTCGTTTAAGTTGTAAATTTTTTTTTTTTACTTTTATGTTTTAATTATTTTTTAAATAGGAATATGTTCAATGATTCTTTTTAATTTAGAAACGTCATATTATTGGGAAGAGCCTTATTTGCTTAAATGTAATTGAATGCGTATATACGGGTTTTCTCTCAATACATATTTTATTTCCGCGGAAAAACATAGGCAAAAAAAACTTGAACTTGAGAATAGAATGACAAACAACAAAACGAACAATGTTTAGAGCTGTTTACTATAATTTCTTATTAATTCCAATTAAAGTTGTGATTAATTATAGAGTTTCGAAACAAGATAAGCTGTATGAATTAAATAGATATTGTTAGAATGAAAAAAAAACAGAAAATAATTTTAATTGAAATTGGAAATTTTATGATTTTTGCTTTTACGCCAATCTACTAGACGATTGCTTTTTGTACTCACAAACAGGAGATGTTATATGTATCTATGTGTAGTTTTGTTGTTTTTTCCGATTTCATTTGCAAAGAGATCGGAGCTTTTTTCGATGATAATTAAGTAAGATTATAATATTTTTTTAAGACTATATATGCATTTACATATCTAAGTCTATTTTAATGATTTATTATTCCCGATTAACCCCACTATCATTGATCAATTTAAGTCTATATATATAATTTATTAGAAATTTATAGTAGCACTTTAGTCGATTATTGAAATTCGGAATTGTCAAACATTTACGCAAAAAGTTTGAAAATTTTTTTTAAATAATAAACAAGAATCAATTTTTATTTTAAAAAATTAAAAGTTACAAAATATGGAATTAAAAATTTGTAAAGTTTTAATTTTTATATTAGCAATTAATTATGCAATAGGAAAAGAATTCGAATTTGACAATTCAATAACAATACAAAATAATAATAATAATAACCGTGTAAAACGTGTTGTTAATGGACGTAGATCTAAAGAAGCACATCATCCTTATCAAGTTGCAATATTTGTTGATGGTGATGTATTTTTGTGTTCTGGTGTAATTATAAAATCAAATTGGATTTTAACAGCTGCACATTGTGTATATGAAGAAGATATAACAACAATGGTTATAAGAGCTGGTAGTAATCATAGATCAAAAGGTGGTGTTATATCATTAATTGATGATGCTTATTATCATGAAGAATATGATCCAGATACATACGATTATGATATTGCATTATTGAGGAGTACAGTTGATTTTAGTAAATATTTTAATAGTAAAATATATCATATTAAACCGATTGAAATAGCAAATAAATCACCATTAACATATGGTTATGGTATTGTTTCTGGTTGGGGTCGTACAAAAGAAGGTAAAGAAGGTGGTGTTCAAAAATTAAAATATGCTTTACTAAAAATATTTCCACAAAATTTATGTAAAAAATTAAATGATGGTATAACAAATCGTATGTTTTGTGCTGGCGATTTAGATGGTAAAACTGATGCATGTCAAGGTGATTCTGGTGGACCATTAGTTAGTTATGGTCAATTAATTGGTATTGTATCATGGGGTGAAGGTTGCGCTAGAGAAAATTTACCAAGTGTTTACACAAATTTATATAAATTAAGAGATTGGATTGATTATATATTCGAAGAATATGATGATGATTATCCTGTTAATAATAAAAATAACAATAATTTTAATAGAGATATTGAGAATAAAAGAACAAAAACAACAAGTGAAAATGAAATAGATGATTTAAATAGTATTAGTAACAATAACGAATTTGAATCTGAGGTTAATGAAAGTGAAATAGAAGATCTTATAAAGAATAAAATTAGTACCAGTAGAAAAATTAACAATGATGATGAGAATGAGACAAACGATGTTGAAAAATTAAGAATGTTAAAAACTTTATTAGATTTTCTATTTTAAATTTAAATTTAATGTAAAAAGATAATTTAAGAAATTTTTATTTATTTTTTAGTTGTTTAAAATGATTTTTATTTTGTTCTTGTTATTTTTTAAATAGGAATATGTTAAATGATTCTTGTTCAATTATAATATAAATTTATTAGTCAAATAATATAATGTTGTAAATTAATTTTATTAAAACTCGAATATTGTACATATATACTCGTATAAAAATTTTATTTGCTTTTCATTTTATAACTTAAAATTTGAATTGAATTGCGATTTATTTTTGGTAATATAAAGTTTATTTAAGAAAAGTCGTAACAACATTTACGCAATATAAGCAATTTCTAAAATGTAATTTAAAAATAAATTATCTCTTAACTTCTTGTACACATTGTAGATTGTAGATTCCAGAATGGAGAACCTTAAAGATCTATTCCTCATACACTTGCGTTTCAAGTGTTACTCGTTGTTCTTCTAATTCAAATTATGTTCAAAATATTACAAAAGCGTTCAGTATAACCAATTAATTTTATATTTTAAACAAGTCAATTGCCAATCGGAACGATTTTTCAATCAGGATGATGATTTCACTGAACTTTTGAATTTAACCATATTTGTGAAAATTTTGCATATCTTAAAGCAAAGTTAGTTAAAATTTTTTAGAAAGAAATAACCTTAAATTTGTCGCTAATCCAAATGCGCTTTTTCCAAAACGTACCTCTTTATATTTGACTTTTTTTTGGCTGTATTAAATAGATTAATTCTGGTATTGTAACTGAACTTTTTTAGAAAAATTTTCATTTTTTTATGGCAAATTCTTTTATTTTACTTACAATTATTTCCATTTTTTCTATATTTAAATTAACCAGTTCTAAGTTTAGCTTTAATTTTTGGAAGAATATTTGAAGTTATTGTCCATAACTATATTTATGGACAATTACTTCATGAATTCATTGAAATACATGTATTTAGGTTGGAGTCTACATTATGTTAATTTGAATTCGAAATGAAATAGTCAATGGAAAGCTTTTATTTTCTGTAACTTCAAGCCATATTGTATATTGGCTTGCAATTACGGAATCATAATTAACATTATGTGTATAGCCTTTATGTGATAGCTTTTTTGGAAATCATGTAGAAAAATATAAGTGATTATGTGAAATTTTTCATTTATTTTGGTAACATCTTAATTTGTTTTGCAATCAAATTCAATTTAAAACGTTTAAATTTTTCAAAATTTAAAATATTTTATTGAATTTTTTTAATTTATGAAACATGAATTTTAAACTTATTTTTAATAAATTACATACTCGTATTAAATAAAATAACGTCAAGTGATTTAATACAGTTCATGTACTTAGAAAATCTGAGTTCAAGTTCATTTTTGCGCATTCGCTATCAAGGAAATTGTGTTAAAATGTATTAAACAAAACCATTGGGATATTTAATTTGAGCTCATTGAATTAATTCATGATTTATCATAAAATTGGGTTTTATACATAAGAAAATTTTTATATATTTGTTATAGTATCCAAGTACATGAATATTAAGAATGGGAATTCTATATTCAAATAAATCGGTAAAATGACTAATAAGTAGATATTATATTTTTTTTTAAATTAAGAAATCCAATACGAAATTCCTAAATAAATGGAAAAATAAATTTAGTTTTGAATTGCACGAAACAATCATAAGTTAACACTGAGTCTAAAGTGTTTTTTTTGCAAAATTTTCACATACTAAAACTATCATAATTAATTTCAATTTAGAATGGAATATTAAATATTAAAAAATCATGTGGTTTATTATGTTGGTTGGAAAAATATAAATTTCAAATTTATTTAAAAAAAGGGATAATATATTCGTTATTTTAAAATTTTTTATTTTATTCTAAAATAGAAGTTTGAAATTGTTGTTCATTATACGGAAAAATTTTATTTAGTTTAAGAAAAAATGAAATTAAATTTATTTGTAATTTTAATTTTTTGTACTATTTTAATTGTTAAATGTACGATTGCCAAAAAATTTGAAAACTCTTCAGTTAATTATCGTGTGAAACGTGTTGTTAATGGTACAACAACTGAAGATCATCATCCCTATCAAGTAGCATTATTTATTAATCATGGAAATGTATTTATATGTTCTGGATCAATTTTAAGACCCAAATGGGTTTTGACAGCTGCTCATTGTTTGCATGGGAAAAAGACATCAGAACTTGTTATTGGAGCTGGAAATAAGCATAGATTTGTGAATATTATTAAGTCTCGAGTGAAAAAAGCCGTGTATCATGCAAAATTTGACCCAAAAACTTTTGATTATGACATTGGCTTAATGTGGACTGTTGTTGATTTTAGTAAATATTATTTTAGTGAAAAGTATGATGTTAAGCCAATACAAATTACAAATCAGCCTCCGTCAAATTATGGTTATGCCTTATTATCTGGTTGGGGTCGTATTCAAGAAGGAAGAAAAGGCGGTATACATGAATTGCAATATGCTTACGTTAAAATAATACCTCAAATAGAATGCAAGAGATCGTATAAATCACTTACAAGTCGAATGTTCTGTGCTGGTTATTTGGAAGGGAAAATTGATGCGTGTCAAGGTGATTCAGGTGGTCCATTAGTTAGCGTTGGCGGTAGATTAATTGGTGTTGTATCTTGGGGTAGAGGTTGTGCAAGAGAAAATTTCCCAACCGTTTATACAAATTTATTTGAACTAAAAGAAAGTTGGATATTCTACGTCATGAATAAATACGATAATCAGAAATCTTAAACCAAAAATTATTAAATCCAAGTTAATAGAATTAGAATTTTGATTAAATATTCATATGTTTCGGTTAAATAATAATAATTTTCGGTTTAAAAAATAATATAAGATTCCTTAACAAACTAAATAATAAATATGATTTTCAAAGTTTTTCAAGCTAATGAGTTTTTCAAGTTAAAATTACATATCAGTCTCAAATGGAATATCAAAATTTGACAAAGTGTAAAAATATTATGCAATTATTCAGTATACGATTTCATGTTTTAATTCGAAATTAAATTTAATTCAAAGAGTTCGTACCTTAATTTTAAAATTAGAATTTTAATTCTTAAATAAAACCAGTATTGACCGCAACTGGAATAAAGTGTTTTATTAAATTTTTCAGTTTACAATAGCTTTCAGTTTACTATAGCTTTATTATTGTGAAGTTGATAAAATATAAAGCCATTTCAACGTTATAGTATAGTTTAACAAAACACAAGACAAAAATGAAAATCAATTTAACATTTAATTTTTATTTTTAAACCTTATTTCATTTCTGGAATTGAATAATTGAGCAAGCAATTTTAAAATAACAGATCTTTGAAATATAACAGGAAGATATTTTAAATACCTATATTCGATAAAATTTGAGTATTGAATTTGGATTATTCATTCATTCATAATTTTAAGTTTTAAAAAGATTGTATTAATTTACTTAAAATAATTTTCATTTTTATTCATAATTACTTTTTTATTAATAATTCAAAAAAATTGGATCTGAAGAATGAGAAAATTATAGGTTCCTACAAATAATTTGTTGAGTTTTGGATGGGAAGTTTTTGGACCCATTAATTTCAATTAGATTTTGTGTATGTAATTTTTTTTGTTATTTTGGTTCCATCACTCTAACATAATCCTTGATATATGCAAAATTAAAATTTTTTTTTTGGAATATTGTAACGCAGGTATTAAATAAGGCAACACAGGCATGTTCTCAAATAGTAGAATAAGATGGGCAATAATCTAGAAAAGGATGGCAAACCTTTATGGGGCTGCGTGCCAAAACTCGTTCCTTTGATTACGTCATCCATCTGTTCTGCAGTTGCATGAAGAAGTTTCCATTAGGTTAAAAAAAAAAGATTTTTGTTGTTGAATTGCTGCCGCTAAGTCATCAATACCAGGATGATAATTAGTTGTTTTTAAAGGAAACCAGGCTTCACAGGTTTCACTTAAAAAATTTTTGGAAACAATTTTTAGCAAATATAATTTTTATATTTTAAGCAAATATAATATCGGAAATATAAAAAATTTTGCACTGAAGTATTTATTAGCTCGTGCCAGGGAAAGCAGAGACGAGTGCCACCATGGGCACGCGTGAATTAGGTTCGCCATCCCTGATTTAGAAAGTTAAAGCGAAAAAAAAAACCGTTTATAGTTAGAGGCAATAAAAAATAATGTTGCTAGTTTAATGTAAAATCAACTTCATTCATAAAATATTTTTATTATGTTACTATAAATGTGTGAGTTCAAGTATGTGGTTGATTTAAATGTTTTTTAATTTTGTACAATAGTATGAAGATTATTTTAAATAACTATATGTACGATAATTTTTAAATATTTATATTGTGGAAAAAAGTTTTTAATGTGTTAAAACAAATTGATTCAAACGACCAATTTTTATTACTATTTCTTAATGCAATTTCGTACTAAATATATGTTTGTCACTGGGAACAACAGTATTTTAAACACGATATGTGTGTGCATACATATTATGTATATCTTATTAGATTTAATGCGAAATTTGTGAGATCTCAAAATAATCTAAATTACTTATCTGAATGAAGTTATTATTTACGGAATGAGGCTATTTGTATTATGATTTGTACTGTTCCAGATTATTATGAAACTATGAGTTAAGCTCATTGAAAAAGAAAAATGTCTGATCATAAGTAATTATTATGCTATAATTGAAAGAGCAACTTTATTAGGTTCGATGAAATTTCATTTTTACATTTTCACAGTATTATTTTATTGTGGTTGTGATTTTTTAATATTAGGTAAGGAAAAAATTTATGTATTTATGTATGAAATATTTTTAAAAAATTAAGTTTCATACATTAATTTTTGATACTTGCCAATCGAAAATTTAACACCACTGTGCTGATAACTAACGTATATCCCTTGTCACGTGAGAAAATATTGTGCGTTAGTAAGTTGGTATACTGATATTGTAACTATACGCTGCTCTTGATCGGTGTGTTTTGGAATTACAAAAAAATAGAAAATGAGCGTCAGTAAAATTTTTATATTTCAATTATTGTGCATTGTTGAGTCTTAAAATCAATTGTTTTAAAAATTTTTTATACTTTAATAATAAACATGATAAATTAAAAATAAATTGAAAGCTTAATCAATTTTAGAAAGTAACTCCAACTTTATGTAAAATAATTTTTTATTATAAATGCAGATTTGCTTTTCATAGCTTGCTTTTTTTACAACTCAACTGAACTTGTTATAAATCTGTCAATTCGTACCAAAACTCGTCACTTTTTGTGTCTTTTTATCCCTTTATCGTTTTTATGTCGCACGACTATCAACGCTTTGATCACATGTGATGATTGCCTGTTCCATTCTCATATGATGCGTCTATTAGGATAGGGTTTTGAGTGGTCTGCATCTTTTTGTATGATTCGTCTCATATTTTAGAATGAATTTAATAAGGTTTATAGGTAAAATACTAATTTAGCAGTGACATTTGTTAAATAATTGATTATAATTGGAAATAAATTGGCTTTAACTTAAAATTACAAATATAAAAAATAAAGTTCTTCATACATTATATTTGACATAAATATATTCAATGGGTTGTAATTTATTTCTTTAGGAAAGTTCAGCTACTACAACCACAACTACAGGAACAAGTTCATCCTCCTCTTCGAGTGAATCATCATCATCTAGTTCTGATTCTTCATCAGAGGAGTCTGACAGCGGCGGTTCTACAGAAGATGAAAATGAAAAGCATGATGAAAATGAACCGTTTACATTTACAGAATTGGAACCAATTTACAAAAGCTGTGTTAAGAATTTGGAAGAGTGTGTTACAAGATTTCCTGAACACTATAAATCAATATATCGTTTAGTGCATCATTATTTAAACGCACCCGATAAGTTAAAGAATATGCAAAAATGTCATCAGTTGTTAATTGGAAACTATACAACTAGTTTGGGTAATCACATTGCTGGTTTGTTTTCTGATCGTAAAAATAATAATTTTTTCAATGGAATTTGGAGGATTCCTTCATCAGAAATTGATCGTCCAGGAAGCTTTTCAACACATTTAGTGAAATGTGTAAATATTTTACTAGAAGTTTTGAGAAAAGATGCCGGTCACAGTATTTTAATTGACATGGCTCTACAATTACACAGAACTCCAGATCAAGATAAGTACGTCTTTTTTTGTGTATAATAAAATACTTACGGTAATTTACTTGCAGTATGCTTAGTTTTGTAATATACACATGTATGTGTATATCAAAAAACTAAGCATACCGCAATTTCTAAATATAATGTGTACATATGAAAGTTTATTATATATCAAAATATTTTATTTTTAGACGTTATATTAGAGACTTTGAAAGAAAGGAATTATGTAAGCAAGCAATGGCATTTTGTGTACAAGTTATGCGAGATATTTTGAAAAAGAATCAAGAAAATCGAAATGATTCAGAGCTTGTAGAACTCTTGTTAGATGTTTATAAAGCCCATAAAAAATGTATCAAGCACATGAATCAAAAAGAAGCATTATTCTCTCAATTGCTTGTGGATACTTATAAATTTTATATGGAAGATAAAGTAAAAAAATTACCAGAAACATGTAATTTATCTGATATTGCAATTCGATTTTGTGTTCAAGAAATTTCGCGTCGTAAAACAATTGGAAAGTACGGCGGTTCAATGTTAAATTCAAATCCAGATACATTAATGTCAAATGTGTCTTCTATGAGTGGACTAACTACAACTCAAATTTCTATAAACGAGTTGAATAATTTACAACAAGGAATAACATCTCGAGTAACATCTCCTGCAGCAGGTTTTTCAGATATCAACTCAAATACAATAGTTCAACAGCAAATTGCTCAAGCTAATTTACTACATAAAAATGCAGGACCTTATGTAATTGGTCGAACACCTACTCCACCTATGGTATGTTTAGAAAAATTTTCAAAAATTTTAAATTTAACTTTATGAAAAAATTAAGAAAAAGTAACTTATTACCGTTATTTCAACTCAATCATTATTTTTAATTTGTTTAAAATTAAGTTGATTAGGATAAATTTCATTTTCATTTCCTTTTAAATTTTCTGAAATTTTGCCAAATTTGATAACTTTGAGTACCTCTTGAATTTAAAGATTCCTTGAATTTAAATCAAAGATATGTATTTTAAATTTTTCACTTGCTCTAAAGCTGTTAAATATAAACGAAAAGATAAAATAGATAAGCATTTCATATTTTTACTTAATGCCATATTTAAAATACTAAATGAAAATTTTATTTTAGAATAAACCACCAACCACACAATTAGCTGGCGTTCCTTCTCGACCTCGGGGAAGACCAGTGGGTAGCAACAAAAATAGTCCTAGCATTAGTACACCAAACTTGTTAAATACACCACCACATGCCGCATATCCAATGGATGCATCATCGATTGCCGCATTAATGGCATTTTATGGAAATCCAGCATTACCGCCATCCGCTTCAAAAGTAATAGTGCTTTTTTTATTATAAATCTTAGAATAAAGGATAATGTATTTAATTGAAATTCCTTTGATGCTTTTCTAGGATACGAAATTCATGAATAATTTCTTCTCCGAGTTCTATAAATTTTTGGGTGCTAGTTCTGCTATGAATCCAACACCGACAGCACCAATTGCATCTCATAACATGACTTCACCATTATCTTCACCAATTACGCCACCACAAAAAAATTCAAATTCAACTGTTATAATAAATAATGCCGTTAATCCATCTTTGTCAGTCAATCAACAACAAAAAAACAATGTCAATTCTTCGAATATTGTGCTAGCGACGTCCCAGTTTCCTCCACAACCCACATTATCTTCATCTCCGAAGTTACCACAATTTGACATAAAAAATTTAATAGCATCCGCAGCTTCTCAAGTGGCACAAACAACACAGTCAGCTTCAGCTACTATAACAGTTGGCAGTGGTGAATTAACTATTACGCCAGCAAATACAAAATCCCCCAACTTGGGGTCTTCAAAAAATATTGGCGATCTTCCTACTCAAAAAGGTGGAAAATCATCACCTGCGTTATCAGTAACAAAAGTCAATCCACAAAAATCTCCAGGTCTTATTAGCGTTAAACCTTTATCGGACTTAACTGGTCCACCTAAACCAAGCATCCCAAACATTTCCAAACTGCCAATTCTTCCTGACTTACCTAAATCTTTAACAATAACACCAGCCATGTCAACACTTCATCAGCAGCCTGTATTACAAGTTCCGTCATCCTTAAATACAAAACAACAAAAGCAATCGCAATCAGGCGGTGGTAAAATAAAATCAAGAAAAACTTCAACTGTAGTTACAGACTTAATAAATAATCCTTATAAACGCCCACCTTCTGCTGGTAATACTATTCCAAATCAAGCTGAATCTTTCTTGAATCCAATGGCAATCGCAACACAAATGCAATACCCTGGATCCTCCAATTTTAATGCATCAACATTAACGCAACAAGCATCCTTGTTAAATGCATATGCGGATATGTTGAAACAAGTTGGACTAGAATCAAATAAGGATTTACTTGCACAAATAACAAAATCTCTTAGCCCTAATTTTACTACCGATAAAGGAAACACAAAAAAATCTGCTTCAAAATCAAATAAGGCTTTATCCGTCGCTAAACCCTCGATTCCACAACGAACATCGTCCAATTCGTCGAATCAGAATGCGAGTGGCATTTCAGTTCCAATTGTTGGTAACGTACCCGCTATATCACCAATATCTTCTTCACCGACAAATAAATTTTCACTTCCAAGTTCACAATTGCGTACCACTTCTTTTGCAGATGCATTCGTTGCATCTTTGAATAATAATTCAGGGCAAAGTTGTTACAATAGACCAGGATCAACACCTTCACCATCAACGCAAGTTAGTCCTACAAAAACCTTGCAACAAAAGTTAGCCGAACAAAAGCAAAAGGCAAATCAAATGATTGCTAAAAATTCAGCTGGTTCAAGTTCTGGAAATCAAAAATCTTCGAAGTCGTCTAATAATGATATAGACATTATAGTTTTAGATTAAACATTTAGTAGACGAACAAAAACTGTTTTGCATAACTTTCAATTCGTTGATAGTTATAAAAAATAAAAAAGTTTTTTATTTTATTCATACATGCTTGATTTTGGCATTTCTTACATACATATAATATACATACATACATATTTTATATTTTAACAAAACAAATAAAAATTATGATTAGATGCATTTGTACTACTTTTTTCCATGTCAAAAATATAAATCGTGCAAGAAAAGATCCTTTGTCTATTTATTTTGCATTTAATATTTTGCAAGTTTTACTATAGAATTGGAATATTTTTTTTTTGTGTACGTGGAATGAGAAGGAACGGTGCGCCTCGAAACTACGCGACTTTTTGTTAGGTCTTTCTTGCGTAGGCACTTAGCGGCTGAACTACATTGGAACCCAATACCCCAGATTATTGATAAGATACCTTATTGTATTACTTTTGCTTTACGAAAATAACCTTCTTGAGCTATCCCCAGCTCTATCATTAATTCCACTCGTAGAATCTAACGAATTACGAACCTAACTACGACGTAGACTTTTGAATGATAACGAATTTTTTTCCTAGAGGTTATGAATCACCAATGGCTGTATCATTTTTCGGAGTGTCAAAATCAGTATTTTATTTCGAGTATCAAATTATTTATATTTTTTGGTTGCAATTTCAATAAACGACTTTCATACAAAACGATATTTTTAAAATATTCATGCAAAAGAATATTTTTTTAAAATATCCTTGTGTATGAAGGTTTTGCTGCTTGTTTTGTGTTTGGATATTTTTAAAAAGTGGAAAAAAAAACTTTTTGCAATATGAATTCATTTTTTTTCATAGTACTCGTAGCTGTGTTAGAGTAATACCAACTCAAACAAAAAAAATTAAAATTTGAAAATTTAATACGGCTATTCTCTTTAAATTGCTTGTTACGAGTGATTATTTCTTTTGTAGGCTTTTGAGGGTAATTTTTACTACGAACGTAATCTATGATTACTCCATTACGAATATTCGGAGCAGAATTTTAATAATACGTAATTGATTATATGATATTCGTAATTTTCCGAATTTCAGAGCTGCGAACGAAATTCATGATAGAGCTGCTCAAGTTAGTTTGAACTGCTTTTGCATCTTGTGGATGGTTTCCAAATATCATTGTTCGGAATCGTTCGGGATAATTCAAATTTGCCCTTCAGGTTCTAGCTTAAATCTAAAAAATCTAAACAAGAACTAATTAATTTACTTTTTCAGATTTTTAGTTTATTGCATTTATTCAAGTGATTTTTTTGGAGTTTAAAATGTTTTTGCAGCGTTTAAAAGAGTCTTTTAAAAATGCGTTAGAATTTTAAACATGCACTATTCTCGAACGTGCTTCTGTAGCAGATAAGATTTATCGAACATACTGTATTCTAAGACTTTGTATTTTTGATTTGTTGAACATGCTTTATATTGATTAAGTGCTAAAAGATGATTATTTATTAATATATTTGTACTTATTAATCATATATTAATAAATAAGAATCATTTTGTTACAAATTTGGCTCATAAAATCTGTATTCCTAAGATTTGTATATTCTTTTCAGTATGTATACGAAACAATAAGTGTTACAAACAAATTAAATATTAAAATCCTAAGTTTAGTATTGCAAAAGAATAAACTTAGGATTTTAATATTTAATAAAAAAACCAAAGTGAAACCAAATTTGTAACAATGGGGTCGCAAAATTTGTAACTTTGCAAGATCGCAAAAATTATATCTGTTTTACATTTTTGTTTTTTAATTTTTTGCAAAACTTTGACCTATAAAAAGGTTTTTTATATGTATTTTCCAAAATATTACTCGTTATAGATTTTAAATTATTTAGATCTTTAAACAAATTAACAATTTTAAAAGTGCCCCCAATTAAATTGTTCTCCATTGGTGAAAGGTTCGCAATTCATGATGTATTTATCATATATGCTTATTTTTGTAATTTTTTCCCAAAAAGTAATTTCTAAATGCTAATAAAATGTGATCATGTTTTAATTTTGATTTAGATTCAATACCTTCAGAATGAAATGAATCTATATTTTTTTAGATTTTTAAAACCACAATGACTACAAGTGTTCTGGAATGAATTCAAAGTGTTTCTTTCAAGGAATTTCCAAAACGACTATACATTGAAGGTTAAAGATAAAATAATTTGTGCCAGCATAAAATTGTTAAAAAGAAATGAATGTGTAGATATTGAGCCTTATTCTAGTTGTCGCGTCACTTACGTGACATTTGTATTAAATTACAAAATTTATAATTTTTTATATTTTTATTAAATTGTTTAAACTTACATTTTTGGTGTATCCATCTCGCTTGTCACTTGTTAAATACTTTTCGACAAAAAACGTCGTTTCACTACGCCATGTGTCGCTCTACAACGACAACTGGAATATACCTGAAACACATTTTCCCGCTATTCCACGACACGTGTCACTTTAATCGCCATTTAGAATATCAAATTCAAGTCGTGACGACAATTGTCGCTCTACTTCGACAACTAGAATAAGGCTCATTGTCTGAAACGAATTTGCATACATTTAGGAGAATGTTATGTGCATACATGTTATGGAGAATGTTATGTTGCGTAATTTAATATTTTCCGTTACAAAATATTATATTATGTACATATAAGTTTTTAGAAAAAAAAAAACGTGGAAATATTACGATATTTAACTCCCGTATAATAAAAAATTGTTTGTTGAATTTGAAATGTGTTGAAGTTAAACTTAACTTTACATCGAATATTTTATTCCGAATCTTGGTGCATGATTTATAACTGTAATTTATTTTAATTTAATGATTATTAATTAATTTAATTTAAGCGCATGACCTATGTATTATATTGACTAATTAAGTACGTTTGGACTAACAAAATTTTTATTCAAATTTAATGCCTGATTATAATTATTACATTGTAATATGTACTTGTTTGCGCATGTGATTTCAAATTCATTTCATTTTTTCATTGCATTTAGATTTAAAAATATCATTTTCTGTGCTCTTCTTTGTTTTTTTTAGCATTCAGTTTACTTACAAAAATTAAAAGCGCCCAAAATAAAGTAAATTGAAATATTTACTTTTTACCGTAAACAAACATACCTTGAATTGCATATTGTTTACCTATTCAATGCTTGTTTTTGTAGTAAAAGCAAAATTTTTCTCTATAAAAGTAAAAAATAATTTATAAAGTTATCATTTACAATAATTAACTTACATTTGTTATGGTTCAATCAAAAATGTTTTTTCAAATACTAAAATTATTAGTATTTGTAGTGCTTTTGGTAAAAAGCACTAAAGCCCAATTGGAAAATACAACAAATTCAACATTGATATTAAAGAAAAACGATGACAAAATTGTTGGTGGACAATCAACTTCTATAACTTCGGTTCCATATCAAGTTGCTATTACCGTATCAGGATCTATTTGTGGAGGATCTTTAATAGCTACGGTAAATTGTATATTTCCAGTTTATTAATTAATATGCATACATAGATTCTTTTTTTTTATAGAATATCGTTTTAACTGCAGCACACTGCGTTGTTGGGCGTAGTCCATCATCTGTTACTGTTCGAGCTGGCTCTAATTATTATAATCGTAATGGAGTTCTTTTACCTGTGTCGAGGATTTTAAGCAATTATAATTTTAATTTCCAAACTATGACTCATGATATTGCTATGTTAAAGTTAAGTAGAAGTTTAACTGCAAGCGAAATGAGTATTTATGGTATTCAGACAATCCAACTTCAAACAACTATACCCCAAGATAATTCATTGACGAAAGTTTCTGGATATGGTAGATTGTCATCTCAGGGCTCCTTGGCATCAACATTACAATCAGTTACGGTAACTCTAATAAATTGGAGTCAATGTAATCAAAGATACAATTGGAGATTGACGAGCACAATGATATGTGCTGGACATTTTGGTGGTGGAAGAGATGCATGTCAAGGTGATTCTGGCGGGCCATTAGCATATGAAGGAAAACTTTTAGGTATCGTGTCATGGGGTTACGGGTGTGGTAAGTTATATATTGAGCAATGAAAAATTTGCTTTTCACAAAAAGTCTATTTTTATTATATTTTTAGCTTCAGCTATGTATCCAGGCATTTATACTAGTGTACCAGCGTTATATGGATGGATTCAAAGCAGTACTGCTGAAATGCTAAGATTTGTGTGATAAAATGGTGCATTTGTATTTAAATTTAGTCTAGTTTTTTGAATGATTTCAAATTGTTTCAATTATATGAGTTTATTAAGGAAAAGAGTTATAATAATTAAAAATCAATAAAAAAAATTAGTTTTCCTGGAAAGATAACATTATTTTCAATGGTTACAATAACGACCTAAAATGACTGTTCTTATATTTTATCATTCTAAATTTTTAAAACGGTTCAGCAAATTCTTAAGTTAGAGTCAAATATATGTATATCTGTGGCACGCTATAATGAATATTCTTAAAATATCGTGAAACACAACAAACATAAAAACAGCAGAAAATATGAATTGTTCTTCCTTTATTTGAAAATAAATTTTTATTTTCATTATTAAATTTTTGAACTTATTATTTAATTTTGTACTTATAAATTGTCCCAAATACATACTTAAAAATTTTATTTACTTTGCTAAATTTTTAGTAAATTAATAAATTTTAAAGACCTACTGTGGAACTGTCAATTACTAAAAGCAAATTATGGATTGGGAATCGGAATTAAATTATGAATCGGGAAATAAAATCACTTATGTGAAGCTTTGTTATACTTTAAGAATTTTCTTATGACAAGAGAGCAATTTTATACCACTTTAGTTTTAATAGAAATATGTTTAAATTTTATTATTTGTGTAGTAATATACAAATTTTAAGTACACAAATTGGAAATTTCTATTGAGAACAGGCTATCAGTATACTATTAAAATAACAATATAAAATTATTACATTGCAAAATTGAGAAAATTAAGAAATATTTTGATTAAGATGTATCTATCCAAAGGAGGTACAGTTGGCACCATATTTTGTTGCCTTAAGCAAAAAAAGGCAACTGACATCCCGACAAAAAATTTTGCATTAAAATATTTTTGCATTAAAACATTTTAATGCAAAACTTCTTATTAAAAAATAAAATTGTGACGTATCTTTGTATACTTATTACGTTTTTTTTAACAACTGTTATACTATTCTTAAATCAATATTTGCGAAATAATTCTTCAAATTATTAAATTTCTATGACATTTTTTTCGTGTTAAATTTTGATATTAATTAGAGGTTAAATTTTGGAACTTTTTAGTTTAATAACTAATGAACAGGAGCAATCATTTCACAAACTTTTTTAACAATGTTAAATAAGAATCTGAAAATCAAAAACATTAATTTTTTTTGGATATTAATCGCAGCTTTACAAATTATCACAGTTTCAGGGGAGAACAGTACTTTAGTAATAGAGGATCGTATAATTGGCGGCATAAAAACAAATATCTTCAAGCATCGATATCAAGTAGCATTGATTAAAACTGGTTATTTTTATTGTGGCGGAAGTTTACTGAGATGGGTAATATAAGCAATAAATTTCGTTAAATTCATTTGTTTATATAGTTTCCTTAAATATTTGCATTATGTGTGCATATATAAATTATTTACTTGGATACATTTTTTTTAGAATTGGGTAATAACAGCTTCTCATTGCACTAAAGGAGCAAAGCCAAAGCAATTTAAGGTTCGTGCCGGTTCAAGCTATTGGCATAAAGGTGGTGTTTTAGCCAGAGTAAAAAAAATTATGGTTAATGCGAAATTTACAATGCGTACACTTACACATGATGTTTCTTTAATGAAACTTAAATCGTCTCTTAGTAAATATGCTAACAGATATCCAATCAAACGAATTGGTATTGCACCTTATTTGCCACGTGCTGGCGCAGTAGCAGTTATTGCTGGTTGGGGTGACACTAGTAACAAAAGTAATTCCCCTCCAAGTCAATTACGGCAACTAAAGGTTAGAGTAATTAAAAGAAAGTTATGTAAACAAAGTTATGGAGCATATTTAGACTCATCAATGTTTTGTGCTGGTGTATGGTATGAAAATGGTAAGGACACATGTTATGGAGATTCTGGTGGCGGTTTAAAATATAATGGGCAATTAATTGGTGTAGTTTCTTATGCTGGAAGTATATGCGGTGAGTAGTTAAATTAAAATAAATATTTTTTCTATTATATTAAAAACCACCCTTATTTTTTAGCGGAAAAACATTATCCTACAGTTTATGCAAATTTAAATTTGAAAAACTTAAAACAGTGGATTTTTAAAGTTATTAAAAATCACTGATTTTAACTATTAACACCAGTTTTTGTTTCTTATATACAAAATTTCTTTTAGGAGATGCAGTTTTATTCACCTTTAAATTATTTAACAATAACTTTCAATTTTATTTTTATTTTAAAGAATTGTAAATTGAAAAAATATGAAACAATAAAATAACTATTTAATAATAAAATTAAAATGTTAGAAGTTTCGCTTATAAAAAATATTCATTAGGTAAAACTTTACAGGTTTCTCATGCAGTTTCCCATATGAACATTTTAAAAGTATATTGCATATACAAGAGCTGCGAAAAAGACCATTTTCGATATGGTCCATTAAATTGTGTATATGTACATTTACATATTTCATATTGTAGTTTGATATAAATTTTGGCTTGTTATTTACTTTTACAAAATATATCTCACCAATCAATAATTAAAATATATTTTTCATTTTTAATTTTTTCAGCATTAACTAAAAATCTTTTCACAATTTTATAATTTTAATTAATTTTTCAGAATAATAATTATAAAGAGAACGAACGAGTTTGAATTAGAAAGTTAATTTTTAAAAAATAGCGGGCTCGAAATGCAACTATACAACTTCATATTACCATACAATTTTAATACTACCATACAATTTTAAGAAAAATTTGATCATATCTTTGAAGCTATAATCTGCACTATTCAAATTTCAAATAGAAAGAAATAAAGTATTCTGAAAGTTATTATTCTGACAAAATTTAATAGTGGTTCTTTAAGTTTTCACAATAGTCGCGTTGCAGCTTGAAAAATAATTCGATCATATCTCGGAAACTATAAAACCCGCACAGTATTCAGTTTTTTGAACAACTTTCAAAATACTTTATATCCCAAATATCGGAAATAATAAATTGCAAATTGGTTGCAAAAATTTGGTAAACGAGTTCGCATAAGTACTCGCTAATAAAGAATTCCAACAACAACTTACTCATCCTTAAAAATTTTACAAACTAGAGCAGGTCTAAGAACATTCTATTAAAATATTGATAGAAAATGTAGAAAAATATTTGCGGAGGTATCACACAGTTGATACGATATTTTTAGATTTGCATTTAAATTATTATTTAAGTTCTATTAAAAGTTTAATTTTTCAATATTGTGTATACCTATGTCATCTTATGAAAGCCTTTTTGAAATTTGAATTAAATAAATTCGGATCAAACCATTCGTTTGTAAAGTAGCACATATCCTTTGAATACATGAAAAAACGTTTTCTTTAACTCTCTTACGCCGTTCAAAAATACGTGAATGAGTGAAAAATCAATCATAATTTTTTGTATAACATAAAATACTCGTTTCATGTTTTTGAATTTTTTTATTTTCTCTTTTTCTTTTACAATTATGCATTGTTTTGTACTTTGTGATTTTATTTTGAATTTTTTTTGATTGAATGTTTCTTGTTTATATATTTTTTTTTTCAAAATAGGTGAAATTTCATCCAACGTCGAATTAGGTTTAAAAATAATCTGCTATCTGTTTAAATTATTTTTAAATTTATGAAAATATATTAAATTATTGCATAGACCTAGGATGAAAAAAAAGCTGAAAGAAGCGTTAACGTTATATCCGTTATGTAAGAAACCGGTCATAGAAATCGCTTGGTTATCCCTGTTATACCCGTACGAATATATGTTCGAAGGGTATACTAAATTTGCCTTACCGTTTGTAACGCCAAGAAATAATGGTCTTAGATATAGACTCAAGTGCATGTTTTTATCAGTGTTGAATCCTGAGTCAATTTAGCTTTGGCTGTCCGTCCATCCGTACGTCCCAACGATAACTCAAAAACTAATTGAGCTAAATTCACCAAATTTTAAATGATTTATTATAGTAAATATAATAAATATAGTATAGTAGAACCCTATTTAAATTGGATATGATCTGGGTACGGGTTCGGGCAGCTGCCATACAACTTCAAAATTTATTTGATTATATAAAAGCTGTGATATTAAAATTTCGCACAAGCGAATAAATTAGTTGGGCCAATGTGTTTGATAAAATTCGTTGAAATTGCTTTGCTCCTTCTAGTAGCTGCCATACAACTTCAATAGTAGTTTGGCCGTTATAAAATATTGAAAACACAGTACTAAAATTTTGCATAAATAAATATGGTAACTTAAAGTTATGGTCTGTCTCATACTCAGCTATGACATATTTATTCGCACATAGGATAGAAAATTTCTTACGGGTATCACTGAGTTGACACGGTCAATTCTATTTTTTCTCGTTTTAATTAAATTACTTAGCAACATACGACTATTATCATATACATTATTTATTTTAATTTCTATAATATAGGGGACAAGTGTACTTTGTTTGAATATTATTATTTCAAAAGCACTTAAGATTTAAAGACGAAAACAATTCCCCGTCTTATTTACTTTTTGCCAGATGCAGAAATAGTAAATTTATTTATTATTTAATATTTCAAAGATATTTTAGGAGTATTGGAAAAATTTTTCAAGTTTCTCCAAGGATTTTAAGTACAATTTGCCTATGTGTGTTAGTGTCAATATTTTGCTAATTTTTTTCGGACCCGTTGTGTATACATAGAGATTGCTTTTTACCGACCGTATTGTGTAAACAATAGGTAGGTTATGTGATTTCAACAAATTTTGCATATCGAATTTTCGGTGGGAATGCACTTCTCCATAGTAGGGAAGTGTAAGTAAACTATTTTTGGCAACCTGTCGGTCCGTCGGTCTGTCGGTTTGTCGGTCTGTCGGTCTGTTGGTCTGTCGGTCTGTCGGTCTGTGTGTGTACACATGTAGCTCAAGTTCGGCTGAATCGATTTTGATAAAATTTTATATGTAAGTTTATTTCGACCATGGCACGGATTGATCAGCTTTTGCGATATATCAGGCCTCGGGAACTGCACATTTTTCACCATATCTACGGAACGAATTGATATAATTTCTTGAAATTTGATATTTGAGTTCTGGTTGTCACCGAAACTAACTGGCGAGCATTTCAGTGAATTCGGGTAGCAAAAAGCGAAATTCTACTAAGAGCCATATTTACATTTTTCTAGGCATGTTAACTATAAGCTTACTAATGTCCTAAAAATTGGAAAGAAGTATTTAACAGACATTTTTATAATATTCTGTAACATTTTCATTTAACTAGATAATACACATTGCGGTCGGTTATGTGCTGATCACATCAGATTTTTTTTTTTGAGTTTCCAGTTCTCTTGCTATTTTTATATAACAAATATTTAATGTTTAGTATTAAAAAACAATCTTTTTCTGGAATAAGTATAAGTATAATTTTACTCATATTTACAAAGTATGTTTAAAATTACTGCAAAACATGTTTGATTAACTTTGAATTTATTTGTACTGCAAACATAATTTTTTTTTATTTTATCTTAAGCAAGAACTCGCAAAAAAAATGAAATTATGTAATCTCAAAAATATAATTAAATATTTTTTTAACTGTTTAATAATTTTTAAATGTTGCTTTATTAATTTTAAGCTTTTTTATTTTGAAACTCTTAATGTAATAGTTGTTAATTAAAGTATTACAGTATTTTTAGAAACGCGTATTGCCAAAAAAATAGGGGTTATTTTGAAAATTTCTTTCATTAGCTTAGAAATATTTCTTTTATAAAAAAATAATTTAAAAAACTTAAGCTTCTGGAAATGGGAGTAATGAATTGATTGGTTTGCAGAGATCTTAAGGGTCTGCTATATACTGGAGAAAAACTTCGAAATCTTGTTAAATTACAAGTTTTATTATTTTTTATTGTTTTAGCATGGCCAACATTGCAAATAATTTGCAAAAAATTAATATTTACTTTGAATTAACCTGTGCACTATGGAACCACGCTGAGTGGGAGTGAGAAGGTGCAAATTTCAAATTTTCTGGTGGTTTTTAGATTCTTGATTTTTAAATTGAAAGTTTAAGGAAGGAAAATCCTTTTCTGTATTAAAAAAAGGGATTTACAACCATTTCTATTAATTTCTTTTTTAATAAATTTTTTGAATTATATTTATGTATCTTCTAGATTATGCGCGTTATATATTTCATACCGAAGGCCAGATATATGTTATAATATGAGATGCACATATATGTAGGGAATTCTTCTAACTGTGTGTAAAGTAATTGAATTCAGTGTCTATAAGAAAAGATTACAACAGACTATAGTTGTATTTCTTGGCACATAAAAGAAAATAAATTGTATGTTATCATTTCCGAAATCTTAGATCAGTCGCTTCATATCCATATCGTTTTTTTATACAAATGAAGAGGTAAATTTAACTTTCAAGTTGGTAAACCAAAGCGGAAGGAGGATTCACTCTTTCCAATTTTAATCTTATGCTTTCGAATAAAATTAAAATTTGAAAAAGTGAAAAAGTTACTTTCTTTGGCAAAATATTGCAAATAAAACGTAAATTTGTTCATTTAATTTATTTGGCAGAATTTTGAGCTAAACAAATAAATCATTTATGTGGTATTTTTTTTCGCGTATATAGCATTCAAAACTTTAATACGAGTACTAGTAGCACATATGTACATAACATTTAAAGATGAATTTTTGTTTAAAGATTTTAATATCCCCACTTGAATAAAGAAATATCACTTAAATAAAAGATCTATTATTTAATAATTTAAATAATAATTTTATATAAAAACAGACGAACGGTTTGGGTAAACAAATTTTTGTTATAAAAAGCGGAATCATAATTTGGTTGATATTTTATAAGTGATTAAAAATGAAGAATTTAACAGCATTTATTCAATTTATTACAATTTTTGTGTTGTTTGCAAATTTTGCGAACGGGCAGGATAGAATTGTAGGAGGGGCTTTCCAAAATATCAACTCCGTTCCTTATCAAGTTCTTTTATTTCCATCAAATTACTATTGCGGTGGTTCGCTCCTTTCTAAGGTTAACATTTTCTTATGCTGTTTATATTTTTTTATATATATTTCAATTTTCACAATAATTTTGCAAAATTTTTTTTTTTGCTAGCATTGGATTTTAAGCGCTGCTCATTGTACTAATAATTTAGATGCTTCGCAAATTACCGCTTATTTTGGAATTCAGAAAATGTCAGAGGCATATTTCAGTACATCTTATGCCATTGATTTTCTTGCGCAATATCCGTATTATGATCCTGTTTCACAAGATAATGATATAGTTATGTTAAGAACAGCCACAGATGTCACTTTTACTCCAACAATACAACCAATTCAATTACAAAGAACAATGCCAGGCGATGGATCAGATGTTAAAGTTTCTGGCTATGGAGACACCGCATTTGAAGGATCATCGAGTGATTTCCTATTAAGTGCTGTTATAAAAATAATGAATTTCGAAACATGTAACTGGAATTACGGCGGCGGATTGACAGATAATATGATTTGCGCTGGTGTAGCAAATTATAAAATTGATTCATGTCAGGGAGATTCTGGTGGTCCTCTAGTATATAATGGAAAATTACTTGGTGTTGTTTCATTTGGAAATGGATGTGGTAATAATTTCATATTTATATTTTTTTTTTATTTAAATATAATAATAATGAAAATGCTTTTATTTCTGTTTTTAGCTACCGATGGTTATGCTGGAGTTTATACAAAAGTACCTAATTATATAGATTGGATTGAACACTATCTTAAATATTGAAGGATTTCATATTCTAAATTTTAACAAACATATTTAAAGGTTATTTATTGTTAATATATCACTTACGTATGTGCAAATACAAATCAATAAATTTATGCAAAATAAAATTTTTAAAACTTGTACTTAATTTATAAAATAATGAAGCGTAGTAATAATGAAATTCGAAAATTAGCGCGTCAGTATATTGCTAATGTTTGCATAAGGAAGTCAAGTTTATTATAAAGATATTACAAGCTCTATATGCAAATTTTACTATCAGTTAATTGTACGAGGGAAAATAATTTAAAAATTTTTGAATTAAAAACCTGTTGAAATTTTCTAAACAAATATCGTAAATACTGTATTAGTGATTTTAAATCTATTTTGTCAATGGTTGTCGGCAGGTTTAAGAATTTTTGGTATTTTAGAATATTCGTATTAAGGTTTAGTTGTTAAAAATTGAACAAAAAGTAAAAATATAATGAGCAGTAATGATTTTATTGATCGCGAACAAAAACCAATGCGATTTTGTACCGAAAATTCTGATATTTATTAAAGATTTTAAGATAATTTTCAAATTATTTGTCCAACTATGTAGTTTCAACTGCATTTGGAATATAACTTTGATAACCTTGACAAATTTAACTAAAGAAACTGAATAAATTTCATATGTGCTACTGCCGCAGACGAAATATATTATCACCATAAATTATATCTGAAATTTTCACATAATTTTCAGAACAGAAATTTAATTATTGATTATAATTGATCCGCTATTTGATTAGAGAAAAGAACATAAATTTTAAGTTCATAATGCTAATAAATTACTATAATGTGAATTCTGGCGAATGAAAATTTTTTTCGCATCATAATAAGTCAAAAATATAAAGAATTTTATTGAAGTAATTAAATTTTAAAACAAGAATTTAAAAGAAAATACTGCCATTATGGCCAAAAAATAATGTGGATAAATCCATTTTATTGGCCAAATGCTAGCGAATTCGGCAGTCCAGCAGAATTCGGTAAATTTACCAATTCATTGTATTTAAAAAACTTAAAAATCAAATGAAAATTAACTATGTTAATAAAAAAGTGCAACAGAATTTATAAAGTAAATATGTATAATAATTAAAAGTATAAAAAGAGCCATCTCATAATGTGTCATCTCATATGAGAAAAGGAAAACTAAAAAGGAAAAAGCAATAAAAATCTGTTATCGCGTATTGTTGCTGTATTGAAATCTTATGCTTGCGATATTTTTCCAGCCATTGTTTGCTCAAGTTCTTTAAAAGCTTTAATGAACATCTTTTAATCAGCTGAATTTATTTCATCAGATTTTATTGTATAACAGATTTCTAACTAAATTAAATAAAAATTTTAGTCAATATTTTGAAGGTGCTTCATTTAAAGTTATATAATTTTTAGGTAGAAAAATTTTTCACTTGAATAAAGAGCGTGTGTTAAAATATTTGCATTAATAAAAAAAAATTATACAAAGAAGAACATTCAATATTATTAAATGCTAAAATAATAAAAATGGAATATAATGGATATAAACAAATACTAATCTATTATAAAAGAGACAAAAATATTCTTTAAACGCCACTTAAGGTAAAATTCAAGACATAACAAATCGCCATGTTTCTTCACTTAATAATACCAATTTTTTTTCTATTAACAAATAATAACAATGTATATTCAATGCCAGATTTCTTTGGCCAAGATAGAATTGTAGGAGGTAGTTTTCAACAGATAAGCACTCGTCCATTTCAAGTTGCTATTTTCCCAGGAGATACTTTATGCGGTGGTTCAATTTTAAACGAGGTATAATTCAATTTATTTCTTAAAATTTATAAAATTTTTCATTTAAACAATACACATTTACGTATAATAGTTTTGGATGGTAACAGCAGCCCATTGCACAGATGGTTTAACAAAAGATGATATTGAATTTGCATATGGAATACAAGATATTTCAAAAATAACTAAATACCTTCCTATTTCAAGACTTGAACAACATAAAAGTTGGAACACTAAAACAAAAGATAGTGATATAAGTTTGATAAAAGCTGTCGATAAGATAATATTTACTCCATCAGTTCGTCCAATTTCTATAGATCTTTCTATACCACCAGATGGTGCAACTGTTACTGCATCTGGTTACGGTGATGTTGAGGAAAATGGTGAAGCAAGTGAAGCACTAAAAAGTGTTGATTTGGTTATACAAAGTTTTGATACATGTAATGCTAAATATGGAAAAACATTAACAAATAATATGATTTGTGCAATTGCACCTGCAGGAGTTGTTGGTGATACATGCCAGGGTGATTCTGGTGGTCCATTAACATATAATGGAAAATTGATTGGTGTTGTATCAGCAGGAGCAGGATGCGGTAAAAATAGAAAATCAATATATTTTTTATTTAGTTTTTTAATATTTTAATTTGTTTTATTTTCTTATTAGCTGGTGGAGTTGCCGGATTCTATGTAAAAATAGCAAATTATATAAAATGGATTAACGATATTATTGTACAGTAGAACTAGAGCGATGAAAAGGTCTTATTCACTAAAGATATGTGATAATAATCATTTATAGTTAGTTTGTGTATATAACAAAAAATTTATAAAATGTGTTAAATATATTTTTGAAATTCTTGTAATTGAAAATATAAAAAAAAATGGAAATTTTTTGTTTATTACGTTTTACTATTTTCTCTGTAATTTAACTACTGCTGTTACCTGCAAATTATTTTTGAAAGAGACAGTAATGTCCTTTTTCTTTTTGTTTTTCTAATTTAATAAAATTAGATTTACAATTTTAATTATAAAATTTTTTAGTGCCCCTCTTTCTAAAAAAATTGAAAAATTATGTAAAGTTAGCGTGCATAATATAGAATTATTGGGATATTGTTGAAAATTTACATGGAAACGACGTAAATATGTAAAGCATATGCATTTTGTGTTGCTATATAAGTATCCGCCTTTCTTATAAGTGTTTTTCATTCAAAGTGGTTTAATGAAAGCTGTAAAAAATGTAACCTACTACGTACACGTATACGGACATATAGTAAAAAATGTTTACTATACGTAGTAGGTACATACGGGAATATACCCTATGTTTTCTACAACTATGAAAACGTATTCTAACAGTATTTACAGGTCTTTAATCTCCATAATACATATTTTTAATAAGCTCCTTGTTTTCAAAGTAAAGCCTTTATTAAATATTTTGAACGAAATTGGAAACTAAGCTATATTGTCAAATTTAATATGGTGTTGTTATACACCATAATTATTTTAAATTTTTGATTAAATAAAGACAAAAACTTAATCTTTGATCTTTAATTTATTCAAATGAATTACGAAAATAGAATACAATATATGCCACGTAATTATATTCATTTTCGCCCTTAATTTGCTGCTCAAATTGTGCATTTTGAAGTAAATGAAACAATTAAAAAGCTTTTAAATAACTATAAATTACCGTTATATAAACAGCAGGTTTCTCGGAAAGGATTGTTTTGTATTTCCGGTGGTAACACACTTCTCAATGGTAGGGAAGCAAAAATAAATAATTTTTGTCAAGGTATCGATCTGTGTGCGCACGCATGTGCTTTAAGTTTGGTTACACTGATTTTGATGAAAATTTATATTTGAGTTTATTTTAGCTATGTCTCCCGTTTATCAACTTTTTAGGATAGTTCAGACTTCGAGAACTGACCTTTTTACATGCCTATTTTAAATTTTTGTTCATACTTAAGAAAATATTCAACGAATGTTCTTGAAATTTTATATATAAGCATGGCCTGACAGTATATGAGAAACCATCTACTTTTAGGAAATAAGAAATCGGGTGACAGCAACTGGACTTTTACTGTTATTGGAGTTTTTACACCCATTTTCTTAAAATTTAATATTAAATATCTGGATGTAAAACAATGAACTTAAAATTTTTTAAGAATATCAGCGCTCAGAAACTGAACGTTCGCTAGAGGCCGATTTTCATTAATTTATTATAGCAAAAGGTCTGCTGGAAATAATTGACGAATCTGTATTGTTCCAGAAATTTGGATTATGTTAACTAAAACCTTACTAAAAAAATTAAAACAAAGCCTTAAAATTTGTTCACAATCTTGTGTGACATTTTCGCCAAACTGGACAATACATATTATTCGAACCTATTTTTTTCTTTAGATTTTATGGGTTAAGTTTAATCAAAATGTTATGAAATTTAATTCTCAAAAACTTGCTGCAACAATACAATGTGAACATGCTAGTAGGTTCATTAAATACGATGAAAATAATAGAAAAGATAGCTTTAAAATAAATAAAAATTAATAAAATGAAAATTCTTTTCCTTGCAGTCCATTTGTTTTTTCTGTTTTTTATTTCTTGAATGTGAATGAATTCTGATACTTTTGGATGTGCGGTTGACTTAAAACATAGTTTTGCGAAAAGCTAGTAATTTGAGTCAAGTACGTTGTGCTTACAGTCACCAAAAAATTCATGTAATATATTGATGAAAAAAAATGCAAGAAGGATATAACTCCACAACTTTTGTTGGGGGAAATTTTTGAAAATCCGTTCTGCCATGTCCTAGGTCCTAAAGAAGTTCTAAGAAACTTAGAAACTTAAAAAAAATATATTTAATCAAATATATGTAATTATCATACGATATATGATGGAAACAAATTTTTCTGGGAATGTTTATTAGGATAAATCTTGTAGATTTTATCGAATATTTTATTTTCTTTTATTTTTACTAGTATTTGCCTAAAAAGGGCTTATATGTACATATGTATGTCGCATATTTCTAATTGATTACACCAGTTAATGGTACAAAAAATTTTTATGTTTGTAAAAAATTTAAAATTATTAAGTAATTTTTTTTATTTACTCTACTTTAATAAGAGTAATCTCGTTATCATATCGTCAATCACCATTTTTAAATTTTTAAATTGTTAATAACATAACTAGCTTGTTCCCAACCTATTTTCTATTCTTTAAAACCATTTTAATTTGCATAGCATTTTTTCAATTGTATTGTTTTAGCATTAAAAATTATTTTATAAAATTTTATTTAAATAAATATAAGAGTAAAGAAGAAAACAAGTGAGTTACCATAAGAACAAAAATAGACACTATGATTTTTAAATAAATATAATGAACGTATAAATGTTTGGATACAACACATTGTTATATAAATTTATATGAAATATTAGAATAATTGAGTAATATTGTTGTTAATTAAACGAAAATTAATAAACCCAACTGTACAAATAAGGCGCGTTGTCAGTTGAATAAATTTGAAATTTTTTTAATATTTTATTTAAATCAATAACGGTAATAATAGAAATTGACAAACAAGATTTTATTATAAAAAGCGATCAGTTTATTTTTTAAAGGCAATTTTTATTAAACATTTAGTAGAAACTTACAACTACATAATGTACTCCCTCTTGATATTATCAAGTCTTTTAATATTTGCAAATGTTGCAAACACAGAAGACAGAATTGTTGGAGGTAGCTTCCAAAGCATTGCTACCGCAGCATATCAAGCTCTTGTTTTACCAAGAGGTTTCTTATGTGGTGGATCAATTTTAAATCCGGTTAGTAGTTTAATTATATAAATATATTTGAATTAACGTTAATATTTTATTTGATGTTATTTAATTTAAAAATTTAGAGTTGGATTGTAACTGCTGCTCATTGTACAGATGGTTTCGATGAAACAAGTGTTCAAGTAGCTGTTGGAATACAAGATAGAAGTTTATTATCTTATAATCAACTTCTCAGCATATCTGTTTTAATTCAAAATCCACTTTATGATTCTTCTACATACGATGGAGACATTTCATTATTAAAACTTTCTTTTGGACTTCTTTTCACACCAACTGTTAAACCAATTGCATTAGCAGCATCAATCCCACCACCAGGTACAGTTGTTTCAGTATCAGGCTATGGTAAAACTGAATTGGGAACTACAAGTAGTGTTTTATTGAGTGTTAGTTTACAAATCAGCGATTGGAATTATTGTAACAGATTCTATGGTACCCTTACACAAAATCAATTCTGCGCTGTTGCCTTACCAAATCAAAAAGCAGATTCATGCCAAGGTGATTCTGGTGGCCCAATTGTATACAATGGACAATTACTTGGTATCGTATCAGCTGGTGCAGGATGTGGTAAGAATAAAAATCAAAAAATTAATACAATATATTTCATAATTTCTTTATTTTTTTCTGATTTTACTTAAATTTTTCTATTATCTTGTTTTTATAGCTGAAGGAGTTCCTGGATTCTACACAAGCATTCCACAATATATTCAATGGATTAACCGCATTATTTCTTCATATTAGTGCAGTATTTTTCATTACAAGTCTAACGAAAATATTTGAGACATTTCCATGAAATAAAAAAATATATTGCTTTAAAAATGAAGTTTTTATTTCATTATTTTTGTCATTAAATTTTTGTTTTCAATAAAATTTCTTAAGGTATTCTTAATTTTTCAGGTATTAATTGAAAGTAAGCATGAATACACATTTTCTTACGAACTTCCTTTAAGTTTCAATTAACACATGCTTGCAGTCTATTTATAATAAGTATTACTATTTGTTCTCGTATATATTACATCGTGTAAGGGTCAGAGATATATCCAAAAATTTTGTTAACGGTCTACAAAATTGTGTGAATCATTTTGTTCAAGTCGGCTGTGTCAATCAAACACAGTAATTTAAAATTAGAGTTAAATTAAAGAAATATGAGAAAATTGATTTTAAGATTAAGAGTGCAATGTTAAACATTCTGAGCTTTGCCTACGCTTGAATGATACGCATTATCAGAATGCCCTCCATCTGTGGCAATGTTATTATATGTATACCACATACTGCAGTGCAGTAAAATTAAATGTTGGAGTCTTTCTTAGTAGATTTTGGAAGTTTTCTGTTAAGATACGCTTTGTAGTAGATTTTATCTTAACCTGTAAGGACGCATTTAGCAACTTTTCTTTTGAAATTTATATGATTGAGATCGCGTTTAGCACATCTATGCAACGTTGACTTATATTGCACATTGAATTTAGAAGTTGTGTAAAAAAAATTTAATTAAATAAATGAGAATTGTAGCAGTTTTTTCATATTGCACCCAAAATAATAACAATGATTACAATCAACAATGATAGTGCTTTAAGGTGCAGTGTTAGGTAAACGGGTAAAATTTTTGATCTTTATGTTATTGTATATGGGAATTCATACAACCTTTTTTTTTAACATAATATGAAGAAAGTCAAGAAAAATTTCGAACAAATTATTAGTAAGTGCAAATTATTAGTACCAAAAATATTTATACAATTATTCACATTGAAATTTTTTTGTCAAAATGATTTTAGGGTACAAAATGATTTTAGGAACTACAAAATGAATTATCTTAAAGGTATATTTGAAAAAGAATTCATTATAGGAATAAAATAGAAATATGCAGCACAACAAGTAAAATAAAGGTTTAAGGTTTTCCGTTTAAACCGCCTATTTTAAAACCATCCATTTAAATACTTTTTTACCCAAAACTTTAAAACTTTTAAATTTAGTAAACGTATTTGACAAGCGTTATAGGTGTACTTTGAAGTGAGTATATAAGTATAATACATTAAAATTTTACTGAGTAAAACCACTTTTTTAGGAGATAAGATCGTGGAGAACCAATCTCCAAAAAATTTGTTAAATAAAAGTTGTAGATATTTCGGAAGCTTTATCACGAAATACCGCTAGTCTATATTTTGTAAATTTTCATTTCGCTACCATTAACTTGTACGGGGTTATCAGTGGGTCAATTTTGCTGATTTTCAATGCCTTTTTTCGAACAGTTAAGGTGTTTATCTATACCGAATTTCAAGTCTATAGCTTTTTACGGTCTGAAATGAGCGCTTCAACAATAGATCAAAAAACGAATACAAACTAAATCGAGTTAAAATTCCATATTGAATATCAGTATATATAATATGTACTTCATGGATAATTGATGCGCAAAATACACAATTATATTTGTTAAGAGATTTGTGGGTGCAACGCACAGCAGGACCGTTAATAAATTGGACGGAAGAGCGCGGGTCGATCATTAAAACAATTGCCCGCGTTTTTCTCACTCCAAAAATTTATATAACTCTTAGGACTGGGGAAATGGGAGCTGGCCACACTGTATCTTTCAGACTTGAGGCTGGATGGTCCACTGTATCTGTATGGTCCATCAAAGTAAAGAGCGAGGTCTGCCGTCTCTGTCTGAAGAAGGACGAAACGGTAAAGCACTTATTGTGAGACGCGAGAGGATAGCTCGCTAATGACTGAGATGTTTCGGAAATGGCTTTGTTACCCCGATGGTCTGCTTGGGCTAGTTGTAATACTGCCTAGATATAGTACAAATGTAGGTAGGAATGGGAATTACAAAAGATTCAATTGATCAACATGGAAAGAGCTGAAGAGCCTAACTTTCCTACATGGTGGTGGGAGGTTAGAGGATTTTCTTTTAATTATTGGTTTTTTGAATTGAATTTCTTTTATTATAAAGGTTTCTTTAAATATTTATTGAGTTTAATATTTTCATTAATGTTTTTATTTTATTGTAAGAAAAAACGTACGTACGAGTATGTAACTATTTTCTGTTTTATATAGACAAATGGCGATAGGCGTAGTTTTGAGAAGAAGTATAGTTCCCAATAAATGTTTGGATATATTATAATAATTGGATATAAAAAACATAGCACTCATCAATCGTTTCATTGTATGAAACATTTCATTCTATTTTTGTTGAAAATTGATTCTATTATTTAAAAAAAGAAAAATATTTTATCAGTTTTTAATTAAGAAAATAGCAGCTAAGTAAAGATCTCATTGTTTATAACGATGTTGTATTTTTTTTTCTTAAGCTTTAACCCTTTAGTGCCATCCTTAACAATTACGCAGAAGAAAGATTATGCTTGTTCGCATTTATCTAATACTGAAAAAAAGATGTTTTAAAATTACTTTAGCGACACAATAACTTTAAAAGGAATTTTTAAATAACTTTTAAACATTCTCTTTGTGCAATGTAACCTTTATAAGTAGGCTTAACAGTACCCGTAAAACACGCATTAACAGCTGAAGCAAGTAAATAAAAGTTTTTATGAGATCATATGGCAACGGTACGCATGTCCTTTGCATATTATATAATTATATTATAATTCGAAAATACTTAGGAAAAATATAATTAGTTTCTTTAACGCTATAAAGACTTGAAGGGTTAAGAGCGCATTTTTAATATTTTATTGAAATATTATAAATCTTTTTATCATATTTTCACATCATTTTATATATTTTTTATACAAACACTTATGAATTTTATATTTATATTGTTTTCTGTTAAATAATTTACTTTAAATGAGTGTTTTAATTAGTTATTAATATTATGTAATTGAAAGTTTTTTCTTAAAAATTCCAGAGATGACTCCGTAATATAAATGAATTTAGTTAAGAAAATAAACTATTTTATTTACAAAATTTTCAGGATTTTGCAATCAAAATATCTTTATAATATTTTAGTAAAATTATTTAGGAATTTAAGTTATTCGGAAAGGAGAATAGATTTGTCCACTATTAAACAACTATACTTAACTTCTTGACTAATTCAGTCATTAAACGTAATCTAACATATTGATGATTAATTCAAATAATTTTAGAAAATATATTTGTTTTTTTTTTTCGTAAATTAATCTAACTTTAAATTTTTAATTAAAAATGTATTTAATAACCACTTGTATTAATTTAATAAAATTTGTACAGATACTTCTATCGATAATACGAGTATATATGTAACATTTAAGAACAGACCAATTTTATTAGGTAAACATTGATTTCCTATAAAAGAATTCGATAAAAAAATATTGAAAATCATTCTAATTTTGTTATTCATTTAATTCGTCAAGCATTTAAAAATGCTCTACCTAAGTTTTTTAACAATTTTTTTGCTTTCCGCATCATCAGTACATTGTTCGGCTGAGAGCGAAGACAGAATTGTTGGTGGAGCAGCGCTTGATATTGTTGCGCGTAATTTTCAAGTTGCTGTCATACCAAATGGTCAAATTTGTGGTGGATCTTTAATTGCGTATGTACGTGTTTAAATATGTACAAAGAAAAATATGTATATAGAAAGAATAATATATGAAAAAAAAAACAAAAAAATGGGTTCTGTTAAAAATAGAACTTATGATATGGTTTCTTATAACTTATTATTTCAATAAATTGTTGAATTTTATTTTAGGATTGGGTTCTTACAGCAGCTCATTGTACAGTAAATGTTGTTGTAGAACAAATCGTTGTTCGTGCAGGCTCTATATATTTTTATAAAGGTGGACAAACAAGTTGGGTCTCCCAAATAATTAATCATCCAAAATATGTAAACTCTAGAGGTGGATTTGACATTTCTTTATTAAGATTATATCCAGGATTTCAACCTAGCGTCAGTATCGGTTTGGTTTCTTTAGCTACAAGCTTGCCGCCACCTGACACAGAAGTTACAGTTTCTGGCTATGGTACATTAAATTTCCATGGAATTGTTGCTCCAATTTTACAGTACGTTACAGTATCTGTGGTTGATTTTGAATATTGTAATCAATGTTACGATAATCAATTAACCAGTTCAATGTTTTGTGCTGCCGGTGAAGGTAAAGATGCATGTCAAGGTGATTCTGGTGGTCCAATAACCTACGGTGTTGAACTAATTGGTGTTGTTTCATTTGGTGAAGGATGTGGTAAATTTTTATAAATTATCGTTTTTTGACAAATATTTCTCTAAAACTTAATATTTTTTATTTTATTTTAGCAAATGCAACACATCCCGGTATTTATACTAGCATTCCGTTTAATCTTGCCTGGATTAATAGACAGTTAGTGTCAGATCCACCAGAAACAATATGGGTACAAAACTATTTCAGTCGTTAATATGTGATCAACTCAAAGTTAATGTATTGTTTTCTATATAAAAAGGAATTAAACTGAAATTTGAATGCTATAAAAAAAGCAATAATTATTGTAATATACATTTTTCGTATACTTAGCAGTGTTTGAAAAAAACAAAATAATATTTGTGTATATATGTATATAGATAATTTATATTTTAAAAATAAGAGATAATTTTAGTGTCAAAGACAATTTTTGTTTTGTGAAAAAAATTCATTGATATTCATTGACTTCAAAAATTAGTTGTGTAAAACAAGACCAAAATATTTTTATCATTACAATTCGGACACATTATTCTGACTTAATAATTGATTATAAATGCCACTTCTTTTTTAAAATTAGAGATTTTTAGAAATATTCTCATCTCTCTATCTCACATCTTCACAGAAAAAGATTGAAAGAGGGTAGTTAGTCTTCCGTAAAAAAAACGTTAAAAAAATTCGAATTCGAGGGAAGTAATATGTTCGTTTTCGGAATATTCTTTTTGGAAACGTTTTCAATTTTAAAAACGTTTCGGAATTTCACTGCTTCATATCAGCTTTCTTTGCATCTTTTAATAAATAAGTTTTTGGAAAACTAATTCAGATTTATTTATGACCACAAGAAACATTTTACCAAAATTTTCTTTTTCAACTGAAACTTTTACTAAAATTTATTTCAATGCAGCAACTCACTAACGTATTAAAAACAATGTCATACGGATTGTGTTTCCGAATTGCGAAAAAAATATTTATTGGCGATTACTGCAAATGTTCCATCATATCTACATAAATATTTTTGTTCTAAATTTGGAACTAAATTTAAAGGTATGGGCTCGAAAAAATCATTTATTTTAAACAAAATCGTGGTTTTAATTACGTTTTAAAAATACTAAAAATTTTTTGTTGACTGTCGTATGCTACATGTGTGCATATATTTAAAACTTGAAAACTCGATAATAATTTCATACGTGGATTATTTCTTATATTAAATTAAAAATAAATGCGGAACACCACTTTTTTTCAATATTTACTTAAAAGAAAAAAATAAAACAGAAGACGTAAGCAAATTTTTATTTAAATTTGGTTGATGTGAAAATAAATCCATTGAAAATTCGCTTATGAAATTTGACTTGCTTCATAAATTTTTCTAGAAAAATTTTTTCTTAGGTTAATGTCGGTCCTATTCATTATAAATATTTTTCAGCTTCCATTCAAAATCATCATGTCTTACTGTCGTTTCGAAATTCGATGCTCAATTATAGCGTTTTATTTGTATATATGTATGTTATATTATAGCGACAGCAAAGATTTTGGCTTTCATAAAAATATCGATTTCAACTGTGATTTAGAATCTGATAACGTATATTTCTTATTATATTGTATTCAACTGAAATTGAAATACATAAGACTGCTAGCAACTTTAATTTCAATGAAAACAAACTAATTATGGAAATTGCCAAAAAAAAAAATAATTGAAATATTTTGCTGAAAATTAATTATGTTATTTGTAAGCTTTAAATATAAAGAGGTTCTGCACTTTATTTTTGCAGTGTCCTTATTTTATATTGCGTTCTTTTTACGCAATACACGTCCATATTTTATATTGCGTTTTCAAGAAGGTCTTTAACTTGAATCTAAAAATTGTAATCTTAAGAATTGTAAAAAGCGAGAAGAAAGTAATAGAAATTAAACAATGGTAATAGGATTTAAACGATGCTGAAAGAATGATAATGAGTAAACAAGCAATATGATTGCGTAATTTATTTAATTACAAAATTATATCATGTTAGTCATGAGAACCGCCACAATTCTGAATAAAATAACTTATGGTACAATACGGAAATGAAAAACAAATAAAGTTTCTCTCTGCGGAATTTTTTCAACAAATCTAACAAAAGAATATGTGGGTTACCATTAAAAAATTAACACAATTTAATTAACTTTCACACAATATTTGTATTATAGTTTTTAGATACGAAAACTTTTGAAAATCATTAATTAAATTTTTTGAATTTTACCAAATAATCGTTGAGGAAGACGTCCTTTAGAGCTTTCAGATGGTGTCAAATGTATAAAAGAATATCTTTGTACTACAGAACTAAATTCTCATAATATTAAAACTTGAACTCTTACAGGACAAACTGTAATAAATTTTTCCAAATGTTTTTAAATCAACCCAATTTCATAACGTTCGAACATATATTAAAACATGAATAGTATAATTAGTTTTTCTATTTTTTCTTTTTTAAATAAATTAAAACGCACATAAACGTAGACGTAAGAAGTTTTTGTACACAAAACTTATTTGAATAAATGGTTTATTTGAAATTAATTATTTGAAAAATTTTATTGAAATTAGATTGTAGCCTGTCGTCGAAACGCTAACATCTTAAGTAATACTAAATATGTGGAAAAAATTATTATTGGTTTTATTTTTCGTAGAAAATTGCTTAGGTTCTCCGGAAGAGGAAGATCGTATTGTTGGGGGTAGTTCTCTAAGTATTGAGTTTCGAAAATATCAGGTTGCAGTTTTACCAGGAGATTTTGTTTGTGGCGGAGCTTTGATTAAGCTGGTTTGTTTGAATAATTCAATTTATAAATATTTCAAGAAATAAATAAATTTTGTTTTAAATACACAAAATGTAGGATTGTGTTCTGACTGCAGCACATTGTGTTAATAACTTTGCACCAAATGAAATAACTGTAAGAGCAGGATCAAATTTTGCACAAAGCGGTGGCCAAATACAATTGGTGACAAAAAAAATTGTTCACCCAAATTATGTCACATCCAGCACAGGATATGATATTTCATTATTAAAATTGAGAGAAGAATTCACAGAATCATCCTATATTGGTGTAATTAACTTAGTATCAACAATGCCAGATGTGGGTTCACCAATTATTGTTTCTGGGTATGGTCTTTTGAGTGAAGATGCAGCATTTAGACGCGTATATCTTCAATCTGTGAATGTAGCAATTCTTAGTACTTCAAAATGTAATACTTCGTATCAAGGGTTGATAACAGATACGATGTTCTGCGCTGGTGTTATTGGCGGTGGAAAAGATGCCTGTCAAGGTGATTCTGGTGGTCCAGCTACTTTTAACGATGAATTAGTTGGTATAATTTCATTCGGCAAAGGCTGTGGTAAGTGTTCAAATAATATAACGCATGATAAATAGTGTGTTATTGTTTTTCTTTGTCAGTTTTTAGCACTTTTCAAAAACAAATTTGAAAAAAAATTGCTCATTAGTTTCACTTAGTCCGTCGGTCCGTTCGTCCGTGGACAAGTGGACAGCAAATGGTATGAGTCTGAAATTTTAGCAGCTTTTAGATATTAATAAATAATTTATTTCGTTTTTTCCTTCCACTCCCTCTCAAGTTATCATCTCTCATAATTTGTAAAATTTGAATTTTCGACACCTTATATTTCCGAAACTGCACGTTTTTCAAATGTTAATAAAAGCTGACTGTAAATGCTATGCCATCAAAAAATATAATTACTTTTCTTAACTCACGCTATTAACGTTTGAATTCGAGCATTATGTTAAGATCTTTTTAAATTTTTTTTCTTTCATCCTAAATTTATGCAATTTTGAAATATATTAGATTATAGATTGTTTTTAAAAGCAGTATTTTCACTTGTGGTAAGGAAAATTGCTACTTAAAAACCATTAGTTTGACTCTGCTTTATTAAATGTCCATTCGTTTATTTTATTGTTAGTGTTTAATGAATTTCTAGGTATTGCAAAAATCTAATTGAAAAATTTTATTTTAATTTTTGTAGCTGAAGAATATTACCCTGGCGTTTACACAAAAATTACTGCTTTCGTAGATTGGATCAATAAAAAATTAACCGGCTTGGGGTACGTTTAAACAAATTTTGCAAATGAAGATTTCCTGAAAATTCATAAATCAAATAAAACTGAAAATCACTAAAAACTGCAAAAAAATTTTAATTTTTTTTTCTTAAAACTTATTGAGGTTTGTAATGTTTATCAGGTTCAAATCGGAATTATTTGATTTTAATAGTTTTAATTTGAAAAAATTTGGTACGTGATTGGGGTATGGTTTTTAACTGTTCCTTTTATTCTACCCTAATACGTTTATCGAGTGCGAAAGTTTTAAAATTCTGAGTTAAGAGAAGAAAACTTAAATACTTAAATCAGTATTCAGTTCTGACAAAAAGAACTTCTTTTAAACAAAATTAACCGTTTACTTGTTTACTTTATTTTTTATTTTTCCAAAAATTTTAATAAGATCTGCAAAAGTTTTTACATTATGTTTTTCTGAAGCAGTCAATGTTGTAAAATTTGTTTTAGAAGTTGCATAAATTTTATTTGGACTAAATAAAAAGTCCATTTGTAATTCCATACTTCCGTTAAAAAAGCATATTTTGTGATTCTATAGATGATTCGCAAGTTGGTTAAGTAAGTGGGCAATAGTCGCAAATGACACAAAAAACTGTCACGTATTTTTTACCTTTATAATATGGGGGTAATTAACAAATTTTAAAGTTTAAGCAAACTTATTGGTTATGAAAGCAATTAAAGTGCAACTTTGATATTATTTTCAAATTATTTATAAACTGAATTTATTTAATTTTTATTATCCACTCATAAATCTTTTCTATGTCTTTGTAAAGCCCCTACTTAAAAAGTTTTTCAACGGCAAACCACATTTAGCGATTATTTCCAATGATATTTCCAATGATATTGCCACAGATTATTCCAATGATAGCAAAAAATTTCAGTTTTGAAAGACAAGGACTAAACAGTTAATATAGAATCAAAAAGGACCTGGAAAAGCTTTGAAATAAATATATGAATTATAGCCGTCCAGTGCAGAAAGTATTTTCGAAAATTATGTAATTGTTGTTCCGTGATGTTAAAAAAACAATGGTACTTTGAGATATTAGGTCACGCAAACGTCCCGAAGAATTAATATTAATTTTTTTTACATATCTTGTTTTCTATATAATTTAAGCTCAAATAACTCTATATAGCACAATTAACTGGTATTAATACCGTAATATTGTAAAAGTTTGTAATTATCTGAGGATGTAAATGCACATTTTGTACGTAAGTATGATCACAGATAATAAAAGATAAGCTGATTTTACCGAAAAAATCTTTTTTACTTCTCCTTTGAAACTTTTTGTTTAATGAGATACATATTTAAATGCCATATTTAATGGGAAATTATTTACAAAGCTTAATATGTATAGTGTATGAGGGCTAAAAAGTGTGATGTGAACGACCCATAACCATTAAGTGAAGTATTGCATATTCATTAAATGACGTCGCGAAGGAGTGAAACTTTTTTTTGTATAAGTTTAGTATACAAGTTCAATGTAAGCTTAATACGCAAGAGAAAGCTTTATGGAGATGTTATTTCTGGAAAAGAGTCTTTTTTTTATAGCTTGGAAAAGTGCATTTCCGTTGAAATCTTGTTAATTAAAATTTAGAAAATTTTACGAAATACGATCGGCCAGAAACCTTGCATATGATGCATTTAGTAATTTCTTTGATTCACAGTTGATAATTTTTCGTTAAAAATTCGTACAATATGCGGTTTTTAATAATTAATAAATAAGTATTTAATTAAAGTTAAAAAAAATTTTAGTTATTATGAAAAACAGTGTCTTGTGACCTAATTTTTGAATATGTAATAATTGTTAAATGCAATCTGTACGTTGTGCAAATTTGGCAAAAGCGGTTTCATATTTTTACAAAGTATATAAATATGGAATTAAATTAAAATAAGATTACTGTCTACATGTAAAGGCTTAAGTCTTGTACGACGTTATTAAAACATGTACCAAAAATTAATAATTTTAAACATTCTTTTAATAATATTTTTTTTCTTGAAAAATGCACAATGCCAAAGAATTGTTGGTGGAAATGCAACGGACATTAGTGATGTACCATATCAAGTTTCAGTTGTAATCAATGGTAACACATTATGCGGAGGCAGTATTTTATCACAAGTAAAAATTTATGAAATAGAATAATTTTACAAATATACTACTGGATATTATTAAAATATTATTTTTATTTGATTTTTTAGGATTGGGTTATAACAGCAGCTCATTGTATTTACAATGAATCTGCAACATCAATTGTTGTGCACGCTGGTACTAATATTTGGTATTCTGGTATACCATATGGTGTAAGTAGAGTATTTAGACATCAAGATTATGATCCTAATACATATATTAATGATGTTGCGCTATTACTATTAGTAAATAGCATTCAATATGATTCAAATACATTTCCTAGACAACCCATAGCATTAGCTGAAACTTTACCAGCAGATGGTACGCAAGTACTTGTATCTGGTTATGGCGATACATCAGAAAACGGAAATTTAGCAACTACTTTAATGTCTGTCTATGTTAATATGGTAAATGTTGATTCATGTAATACGTCATATGCTGGTGAAGTTCTAGATGGAATGTTTTGTGCTGCTGCTCCGAAAAAAGATTCATGTCAAGGTGACTCTGGTGGACCTATAGTATATAATAATACATTGATAGGTGTTGTATCATGGGGTTACGGTTGTGGTAAGTACATTGCATAATATACAGAACATGGGGAACATGTTTTATATTTCATTGTGTTTATTTGGAATTGTAGCAAATCCTCAATATCCTGGTGTCTACACAAGCGTTCCTTATTTTTACGACTGGATAACAACCATTTATACTGCAACTAATAATGACTTAGTATAAAATATTATTGTGTTACAAATGAAAGTTTTGTTAGTGAAATTATATGTGATATGTTTTAAGAATTATATACATAAATAAATATTAATATAAATAATATTATAAAATTAACATTTTGTGAATAATCTATTTAAGTTTTTATTTTATAATATTGGTAATACTCGTATAATATATAAAACCAGAATATTCCAAATGACGAAAGAAATATTGTATAAAGTAAGATTGACTATTCTTTTTACAATATTTTTTTTATCAGTCCCTTATTTTTTAACAATAAGTGTGTTGGAGGGTTTTCCTATAATCATTAGAATTTTAAAATATTTTAAAAATATTTACAATCAGAATTGAGAGTTGTGTTTTAAATCTCTGAATTTCCATAATTTTTCAGCTTTTCTTATGAAATAAATATTTTATTTCATAAGAACTCATGGCAAATATCATATTATCAAGTACCTCTCAATAGGAAGTTATTTTATAATTTCTCTTAATTCGTACAACATGCAGTCGAACACTAGTATTATGTATTTATGTTAACGCTATTTTTAATGGTTGTGAGCCTAAAACTATGCATTCTCTCTTAATTGCAAAATTATTGTGTCATTACAACTTTCATTATCATCATATTATTAATGAGAATTAAATACCTAAGTAGAAGATTCTTTCTCGAAAAATCTCAAATAATTTTTTTTTGTTTGAAGAAAATTTGATACATTACAAAGCATAGTTTTGATCCGATTTTTATACCCGCACGAACGTATGTTCGAAGTAACGTTGTAACGCTAAGAAATAACGGTGTTAGATATAGAATCAAGTGTATGTTTTTGATCAGCGTCGAATTCTGAATTGATTTGGCTTTGTCTGTCCGTCCGTCCCAGCGATAACTCAAAAACTAATTGAGCTAACTTCACCAAATTTTCACAAATGATTTATTGTAGTAAGTGCCAGAACCCTATTTAAATTGGACATGATCGGGGTACTGGTTCGGGTAGCTGCCATACAACTTCAAAATTTATTTGGATATATCTCAGAAAGTGTAAAAGCTGTAGTATTGAAATTTCACACAAGTAAATATATAAGTAGGGCCGGTGTGCTTAATAAAAATCGTTGAAATTGCTTGGCTCCTTCTGGTACCTGCCATACAACTTCAAAAGTTGTGGTATTAAAATTTCACACAAACAAATATAATATTAGGGCCGATGTGCTGTTAAAATTTCTTGACTCTTTCTGGTAGCTGCCATACAACTTACAAAACACACAGTATTTTGAAAAACACATAGTACTGAAATTTTGCATAGATTAATATGGTAATGTGGCAACTTAAAGTCATAGTCTGTCCCATAGTCAGTTATGGCATATTTATTCGCACACAGAATAACAAATTCGTACGGGTGTCAGAGAGTTGACAAGGTCAACTTTATTTTTTTCTCGTTTTATACATACATTCATATATGCATGTTCTTACTTTGTACAAAACATAATACACAACCATATATATTTTTATACAGATATCGAACATATTTTTCCAAAAATCATTTTTCTCTAAAATAGCAAGTTTTTAAATTTAAAGTGTATGTGTTGTGCTATTTTAAATTTATTGAATAATAAACGTAAATATATACACAAAAGGGTTCTTTGAAATAGTTGGAAGAGTTATTGAATAAAATGACAAGTTTATAATCTCGAAGGTGATTGAAATTCGTTGTTGAATAAACCATAAACTTATTAATTGTTTATTTAACAACTAATAATTGTCAAAATATTTAATTTGATCAACGGTTGGAACATTTACAGCCAGTTTTCCTTGCATAAAGTTTATTTCGCGATAAAAAACTTAGGCTTTGTTGTTGTTAAACGTTTAAATTCTAAATAAACGTATAATTTCTAAAGTTAGATGTTTCATTTGTTGAAAAAAAAATTCAAATAGTTATAGACACTATTTTACAAAGCATGCAACTGAACATATTTCTACCGCAACAGAATGTTATTGAAATCATAAATTGTATTGTTCAAAACACACTTTTATGACCTTCATCAAAGTACTAAACTAAGAAACAATCAGCTTGCATAATAACTTGTTTTTTAAATTATAAAAATTAGTTTTTCTAATTGTATATATATATATATTTACATATATTTTTCAATGAAATTTTTTATTTTTACTATAAACAGTTGAATTTTTGTTATAAATATTGCAATTACCTAGAAATTTAATTTAATAAGAGATATGTTCTCTCAAATAGTAATATTCATTGTAGCACTAATTCTTTTAAACTCTTCCAACATATGTGGGGATAATATTTTATTGCTTAACGCTGCGTTATCCAAAAATACCAGCAATGTAGATAATGAAATACTTATTCAGCCAATTAAAGCAAACGCTACAACATCGCATGATATAGATGATGATAAAATTGTAGGTGGTATAAAACAACCAATCAATGGCCGTAAATTTCAAGTTGCTGTTTTACCAGGTCGTTATCTGTGCGGTGGATCTTTAATTAGACTAGTAAGTTTTTACCAAAAAATTAATTTCGGTCTCAAATTTTTTAATTCAATTACAATTTTTTTATATATGATTTTTATATTGATTTTGTTTTTTTTCTTAAACTTGTCAATTAAGGATTGGGTATTAACTGCAGCACACTGTACTGAAGGTTTTAGACCGCGAAATATTATAGTACGCGCTGGATCAAACTATTATCAACGTGGTGGTCATACAAGATCTGTTAGAAAAATTTTTATGCATCCTCGTTTTAATATATTCACTTTGAGTAACGATATCGCAATATTAAAATTGGATAATCAGTTTTTTGAAAGCAATTCTATTGGAATAGTTGGAATTGCAAATAATATACCAAAATCTGGAAAATTAGTTAAAGTTTCTGGTTATGGGGCAATGTCAGCTAATGGAAATATTTCTTCATATTTAATGAGTGCTCAACTTCGTATTATTGACTTTTATAAATGCAAAAGGAGATATAAAGGTATTTTAACAAATACAATGTTTTGTGCAGGTGTACCAAAAGGTGGGAAAGATTCTTGTCAAGGTGATTCTGGTGGACCATTAACTTATAAAAACTATTTGATCGGAGTAGTTTCATGGGGTATTGAGTGTGGCAAGTTAATTTTAAATAATTTTCACGATAAAAAAAAATTAATTTTATTGAATTTTCATTTTATAGCAACAGCACAATATCCAGGGGTTTATACTAAAGTTCCTTTATATAGAGCATGGATTAATAAAATTTTAAGAAATAATTAAATTAAACTTTAATTGTATTTAAAAATATTCAATATACTTTTGAAAATACTGTGTGTGTAAAAAAAATGTTTTAATTATACAAGACTTATTAGAATATTTAAATTATTCCGGATGTTTCTTAAAGTGGTGCCTTGGCATTGTGGACTATAACGTAAAAATAAAACACTTATTTTCTTTAATAATCCAATTTATTTGCCACTGTTTAAAGGATTATTGTCCTCATAATATTAAAGAGAATGAATAACGGTAAGTTTAATTTCAATTAAAAGAGATGATATGATCTACGTGTAATTCTGACAAAATTTAAAAAGATGTTAAATATTAAGAAGATGTTAAGAATATTCAAAATTATAAAAGGTTCAAGTAAAATTTGTATAAAAATCACTTTAGAAATTACTATACTTTTAAAGTAGTTACCACAACATATACCAGCTTGTAGATCTTCGTTAGTAAGGAGAAAAGTAGACCAGCCTTATTGACTAATTTTTAACGATGTATGGGCACTGAAAGTAAAAAATTTTACACGCTAGTAAAATTTTGACTTTTTTACACATGTTACTGTCTTTATTGAAAGTGAACTATAAGTATAAGTGTGTTAGATTTTAAGGTACTTTTACTTTAGGTATAAGGTACTTTTAATCAGGTAAAAAAATTCATTTAAAGTTTTATTTTTGATAAAATTATTTTCCAAGAATTCATTCTCACTTATTTTACCAAATCATTATAAAAATTATTTTTAATTGCTATGTTGCGTTACCGAGAAAAGTACCGCTTTAAAAAAGCTATTGTTAAATTTAAAAGAAATTTTAGAAGTAAATTTTTGAAACGGTTGTTGAATCTGAACTAAAAGTGAATCTGAACTAAAAGTGCTACGAAGTTCATTGCACGCTTATTGAATAATCAGCTCAATCAAAGGTATTTAAAAAAATCAATATTCTATTAGACAACTTTACTTTTCAATGCTTCTACCTCCTAAACCGTTGCGATAGTTTCCTATTTTGGAATAATTATATTGACAAGGTTTTCCCTTGATAAATAATTTATATTTTCCCATTGATTCTCGCAACTATGATGTTGTATTAGTAGAATTCATAATATTTTCCCATTTACTTGGATTTTGTTTAATATTTCTTATTTTTTTTTTATTTTTTGTGTTAAGCCACTCTGTTTGCAATTTGGGTAAATGATAGTGAAAGTCTAATCTAATGGTTCTCCAATTGTTCTTTTAGCTAACTCATAAAGGAGATGCAATTCATGTAAAGGTAAATTTTTGTCTTGAAATCCCATGACTTGTATAAGATGCTGCTATGCCTTGGATTGCACTGAAATAATCATTATATATTAAAATATTATTTTCTTTTATATTTCAAATCGAATATTCAACATATTTATAAATTGCATATAACTCGGCTGAATATATGTATGCTTGAATTAAGGTTTCGCAATCTGTATTGTATAAACAACCAGTTTCTATGCCATTCAGGAAAATTTTTTCATATTCCTCATATTTCGAATGATTTTTTTTGAATGAACATTAATATTTATAATTTTATGAGCGAATCAAACTTTAATTTTTATAATTTTTAAATATATAACTAGATATTTAAATGCATAAAGGAAAAGAGTATTTTTAAATGTAGGTTTAAAAAATTGTAAAAATTTTTTTCCCTAAAAATCAAATAAATTTGGATATATAACGTGTAAAATATAAACAAAATAAATAATTTAAAGTCCAACTTTAAGAAGGAGTTTAAAAATGTAAGTATTTATAGTTTTATAAAATCACCCCCGCCATAATAACACACTCCCGCTCCACGCCAATTATTTCTTTTTTTTATAAAAGCACACGTCAAATTCTGTTAAAGTAACGCTATTTCATTGACATGTGTATTGTAACGTATCAAAAAAATCAAGTTAAAACTGTCAAATTTATTTTGAAAAAAACTTCCGCGGAACCTGTAAACAAACTACAAATAATTAAAAATTTTCCTGTCAAAAATTCGAAATAAGCCTTAGGTGCCTGTTACACATCAGATTTAATATACGATTAACACTGAATCTGATGAGAATCTGATATATAATCGAAGACTCAAGATAAAATCTGATTAGGAAAACAGAAACATATCCGATTATTATTAGATTTTCCTTCAGATTTTTAAAAATAACATGGCGAAAATTAAATTTTTAAAGAGTTTGGCCACGATCACCTGATTTTTGTTTTGCACTTTACTGTCATTAAAAGTCTGACATTAAAATGAAGGCTCATCAGATTTTATCGTAGAATAAATCGTATATTTTGTCTGATGTCTAACTAACACCTAAAGAAAAGTAATTTCATGTGTAAAGACTCATAAGATTTTATCCTAGATTTAGCTTGATGTGAAATTAGAAATCGTAAATTATGCGTGCTCAAATAAATTCTCCGACCCACATACATAAATAAATGCGTAACTCTCTTTAATCTAGAAATACCTCAGCATAAATTATTACAATAAAATTTTTTATTAATTATGTTCTTGAACTTTATACATAATAATATTGTACAATATCTACATTAAGCACATATTTATATTATTTAATCATATTTACACCTACACTTACATACATATATTTATATACTTAATTAATATTTCAATAATTTTTGAGACCCATTTTGAAATTAACAAAATAAATTTAAGGCATGCTTCGCAAATTAGAATAATTAAAAGTTGAAAAGTAAATACATACTTTTGGATATTAACAATTGTGTACATCAAGTGATATTAGTATATAATTTTCTAAAGAGAAAAATAAAATAAATTTTGGAAATATTATGTAAATAAAGAACATTATTGTTATACAAACGCACATCTTTTATATAAGCATATGTATGTATGTATGTATATGCATTAATGTTTTATATGGAAATGTGTATATGTTTACCTTAAATATACAAATTTTTTAGAAGAAGTGTGAACTCGCACAAATATTTGAATTGAAAATATAATGAATTATGTACAAATTAAAAATTTATTTTTAATTTGTACTAGGTACATTAAAGTCAATCTCTAGACTTAAGCAAACTCAAACGCATGCAACCTTTTAATTTTTAAATTTATCAAATTTTGACAAACAACCTTGAAATTCTTTTAATTTTTTATCACAATTTTACGCACTGTACACACTTCCAATCATAAATATTGTAGAACGTAAAATCATATACTAATTAAGTTTATTTTAAAATTATAATCAGACCAAATACATACACCATTTAATTAAATAAAATAATAAATGCGTTAAAATTGTTATTATAATTAACAATTATTATAATTATCAATTATTTGTTATTTACCCGGTTTATTGGAAATAAAGCCGGATTATATAATTTTGATGCAGTAAATAAATAAAATTTTGAATATATTTTGTTTTAATTTTAAGAGAAAGGTAAATTATAAACAAGTCATTCGTTTAATCAATTACAATATCTAAATAAATAATTAAATATTGCTTTTTAGTTGATATATATATATATATATATATATATATATATACATAAAAAAAATAATAAAATTCACAGCGTGGCGTTGGAAAATATTTCGCAACTATATTAAATTTATAACACAATTGAGCACAACTATAGGGTTTAACAGAATAATTTTTTGAATGACAGCAATTTTAAAAATTTTTTATTAATTTTAGGTACATTATGTATTTCTAACCCTCTTTTTCTATGTATTTTTTATATGCATTTCTAACCTGTTTATGGAATTGGTTACAGTACAATGAAAAAAAAAGATTCTTAAAATATCATAACGATTCACATAAGTGTTATAAGACTTGGAGTGGTAGGTACTTTTTTTGCAATAATTGTAATTTTTTTGCAAAAATGTGTTGTAGATTTCTCTATACGTTATATATATGTACTTACATAGGTAACTTTTGCATACACCAGGAAAAGATGCAATGAGGGCATGTTCGCTCCAAAAACGTTTGTTTCTTTTCTTACACATAGAAGATTAAGTAGAAAAAAGCTCTTGACTACTTATAGTATAGTTACCTGCTATTTAAATTTCATACAAATCTTTTTCATATTTCTTTTGCACATCCTTATACACAGGCCCCAGCCACTATTGTTACAAGAAAGTGAACAAATGAAAAAATTAACGAAAAACAAAAATTATCTTTCACCAAAGAAAAAAATGAGTGAATGATGAACCGCTGTGTTATTATTTTTTTTTAATGATGACACCGAAAATGAATGTTAAGTTCATAAAAATGTGAATGATAATCGACCCAATACTTTATTTATTTTTGGTATAAGTAAGAAAATTATAGGCAACGAATGGCAATGTCTTAAAATTTTTAGAAAATTTTTCCCATTCTTATTTTGCATTAGAGAAAAAATTATAATATCTTACTTTATTTTCTCAAACTGTATAAGTGGTCTGAGTTTCATACTTATAACATAATTGAACAAATTGTCTTAATTCATATTTTATTAACTTAATTATCACTTAAGCAAAGTGTGTTCGAATGATAATAGAAATATTTCAACCTAAAACTTTTTTTTTCATGGCATTTCTCATTCCAATTGTAGTATGGCTTATGTTATATGGTTGGGAAATCGAAAAAAAATTCATCGTTTGCTGATATTGAAAAAATGTCATCGGTGACGTTTCTGTACGATTATACAGGAACCTGCCAATAACAATAAGAACAATATTAGTACAATAATTACAAAGTTTTTATTAAAAATTTTATCGAAGAATTATTAATTATTTGGTTTTTTCATATCAAGGTATTATTAATAAGCTATTTATCATAGGTTCATTATTTAGTAAACTATGCAAAGATTGCTTTGTACAATATTGCAATATTAAGAGAATTAAGGCTTGCTGAATACGGCTTTGCTTTTAAAATCATAAACGGGAAAGCAAGTTTAAATCTGTCCTTTCAATATGAAATAATACGCTATTATTGTTCTAAATTCTTTATTCTTAGGTCATACTTTTCCTTTATTTATTTAATATTGTTTTCACGTCGTTAACTTTTGGGAACGAGTTTTTTATATTCTGTTTTTTTTTTGCAAATTTATTTTGCTAAATAAATATTTTTTCTTGCGATATGTTTTAGAATGAGAATATTTTTTTAAATATAAAAACCATTTGCAAATATAAAATAAATTTTATTGCCTAATATAAAAAAGGAAAATTATTAAAAGTTTAGAATTAGTTTGAATTTAGATACCAAATCTATGACAATGAATTTGGTAATAATATTAAGCTCCCTTTTAATAGGGTTTTTTGGATTAGTAGAATCCCAAAATTCTACTATAGAACTTGAGCCTAGAATTCAAGGTGGTAATGCCATTACAATTGCTCAAAGACCATTTGAAGTTGCTATTATAACAGCAAAATTCTTTTGTGGTGGTGCACTTATAAAATGGGTGAGTATTTTTGCATACTAAAATGCATAAATTTTTACATTGAAATAATTTTTAAAATAAATTTTATTTCTATAAGAATTATGTTATAACATCTGCTAACTGCATACAAAATTTAAAACCAAAAGATGTACAAGTTCGTGCAGCATCAAAATATTGGAATAAAAAAGGCATTCTTATAACAGCAAAAAAACTAGTTAAACACAAAAGCTACAATCAATTCGCACTTAATTTGGATTTTGGTCTTGTTAAAACACGATTTTCTTTTGCTTCATTTGTTTCGAAAGGATATAGTGTGCAACCAATACCATTGGCAAAAGATTTACCAAAAGATGGTACTACATTAGCAGTATCAGGTTATGGTAAAATATCGCAAAATGGTCCTCGACCACCAACCTTACGAATGGTGAACGTGAAAATTATCAATTTCAAACAATGTAATAAATTGTATAAAAAAGGCTTGACAAAGTCATTGTTCTGTGTTACTGGCAACAATAAGGGTGCATGTCAAGGAGATGCTGGTGGCCCAGCAACATATAAGGGAACACTTGTTGGAATAGTTTCATATGGTTACCTGTGTGGTATGTGTTAAATTAAAAAAATAATATTCCATACCTAAAATTAAATTTTTGTAAATTTTATCTTACGTTTCAGGCCAAGATCCACAATATCCAGGAATATATGCAAATGTCCCCAAAAATCGGCACTGGATCATGAATAAAACTAGAAAATAATTTAAAATAAGTTTATATAAAATTAAAAAAAGTATGAAAAAATTATTTCTTTTAAAATGTAATTTTTTTTTCAAAATAAACTGAAAAATAAAGTAAATGGAAAATTAAAAAGCATCCTTCCTTAGTTTGTTTGTTGAGAATTTATAAATAAAGTATGCATGACGCTTTTGTTGGTTTTTCTAAATATTCTTATTATTTTTAAATATTTACACATAATTTTTTGTTGATTTATAAAATGTTTGAAAATTCATATTCTCAAGCAAGTAAAAAGAAGTTCTGAAAAAATTGCCATCAAGCACATAGTGCTAATTTTGATAGTTATTTACTATTTGCTGACGTAGTTAAGAAATTAATATTATCCCTAAGATTCTAAGCGAAAATCGTGCGAATTTTACTTTTTTACACAAGTTATTTTTACACAAGCAAGTTTACACAAGCAAGATATTTGTAACAGCTCTGGGTTAGTTTTAAGAAAATTGAAAACATGCCATATATTTCTTTGTTTACATTGCCTCTGTTATCATTATCTTGGTTTTTCGTTTTGAAATTCTAGTTAGAATTTAGTAAAATGCTAAATATAGTTTTCTACAAATTACTTAATTTCCGTTTAAAAATTTCTTTAATTCTTTGATATTCTTTTAAAAACAAATAAAGGTTTTCCACAAAACAAATTGTATTTTCCTTAAAACTTCTATATATTCATATAAGATTATCATATAAGACTAAATACAAGTATTTCTAGGATAGATGTTTAATGTTCCTGAAATTTTACCTTTTTATACACTCACGTAAATATTATTTTCCCAAAAGTCAAGAAGTTGCTAATAAATTTAAATCTGCAGATAAAACACTGCACTAATAAAATTAAACCTCGACATTAAAAAAATACATGCCTGGAGAATGAGAAAGAATGACAATTCATTAACAGCAAAATCTTGCTATTTTATACATGTTCCTGAAGTTAAAAATGTTCCTTTTTAAAATTTGGAGTCTCCAACAAAAACCAGTTTTTAAAATTTTTTGTTTGATATTTTGAAAATTAAAATTTTTGAAATATTTACAGCGCGAGGACGAATATGAAGTTATGTCATCACTATATTACAAAATTGATTTAAAAAACTCTTCCACATTCCTTTAAATGATTCTCTGTTCTTTTCTCCCGCTACACAGTAATGCAGCTGTTAAAGGAATTTGTGTTAGTTATTAATCGAGCTCATAGTTAATGTTTCGAGTTGATGTTTGAATTTTTGAGAACGTCAATCAGTACTTTAAGATTTCCACTTTTATCATAATTAAAGAATATCGAGAGCTAAATCCAAATATATGTCTACACATAAATATTTAGGTGCACGTTATGTATACATATAGCAAAACTTAATTAACTAGCAATTGAATGTTATTCGCATTATGCGTTCAATATTGTAAGATAAATGCAATTTAATAACTAAATACAGATTCGGATTGGAAACTAATGACGTTTAATTGCGTAAGTTGAAAGAGCGCATTCAATTTTGCTTTTATAATTTTATATTGCTATTAAATTTGAAATGAGAAAACGTGAATTTTGTATATAAAATTTTTTAAACAGTCATGCCAATAACCTTGTAAAGCGTTTAATGTCTGTTAAAAGACCTTCTTCAAAATCATAAGTAAATATTTGGATTTTTTTTGTTAATTGCAGCTAATATCTTTTTAATTTTCCAAAATGTCAAGAAAAGTTTGTAAGCTTTATGTAATAATTTCAACACAATTCATAAACAATCGTTAACCGTTATTTGAGTTTTTTCCAAAATTTTATCACTCGTTTTCATTATCTGGGTTCCATTTACATGTACAACAACTCATGAGTGGCTAAAACCTACAATTTATATAGCAAGGATTAAATATAATATACAATATAAAAACATAATATAAAATATTTTGTTTTCTACATAAAAATATCTATGCAGCCATCTATTGGAATAAATCTGCGTAATATTAAATTTACTATAATTGATAAATACATTTTATGAAGAAAGTAACATATCGTTAGGCGTTGAAATATTTACAATAATTTTTATAGATGTCTCTTTCAAAACTACTATTTTCAATTGCTATAAAATATACTAATTTTTTAAAATTGCGATAATTTCCATTTGTGAAGTTATAAAACAAATTGTGAATAAATTTTTTAATCTTTGATGACTGGTCCTCTTCTTGTATTTAGTACCAGTGAGTACTTACATACATAAAAAGCATATTGTGAATATCAAGTTAGGAAGATTGTGTAGAAATATTAATATGTTATTATGTAACAATGTTATATTGTAAGTTCGTGCACACATTCATATATTTTATTTGATATTATAAATTTTATTTATCGTGTTTAGTATAAAAAGTATGAAGCCGTTATCTAGAACCATTCTTTAGCTACCGTCCCCTAAAATCGTATATATACAATTTATTTATGTATAATGTCAACGAGACGTAAGATTTCAAAAACGTTTGTTTTGAATGTCTTAGGAAGGTCCAATTTATTTTGAACACTTCTTCAAGAAAACCATTTGAAATTTTAATGTAGCCGAAAGGCTATAATTATATTTGACGAACTTGATCTCATTAAATATAATTTTTTTTACTAACTTCTATAATCTATATACCATAATATTTTTAAGTAGACTTAATTGGATTATAAAAAATAACATCGAATGGCGTAATTCAATAAATTATTAAGAAAATTGAAATTCTATATTATTCCCAAAAAAGAACAAATATGGCATTAAACTTACATTTTAATTCTAAACGTTTCACTAAATTGATGTCAACCTATAGAATTTGTTGTTAAACTATTAAATTTCAACAATTTGATTAAATTTTTTGTCAATTTTCCTTTTCAAATTAGATAAAATCAGTAATTTAATTTTACAATTTATATGTATATGTACTTTACATTTTGTGTACCAATATCACATAAATGAATTTATTAAAATTTAAAAATTTTGCAAATATTATAAATTATTTAAGCAAATATTATTTAAAAAAAATATTTAAAATTTTAAAGAAAGAAAAGTAATAAATAAAAAAGAAAAAATAAATAAATAACAACGTATTTTAACAACTGAATTCAAGGACATCCAAATGAAATAATATACATAATGATTTTAAAATTGAGTAGAAACAATACTTATGTGTTGAAATTTAACTCATACCAGCAGAAATTATAACTGTAGAGGAGATTCGAATATTCCTTTTAATTTTTATTAATTTGTTACCTTATTGTTCTGGTATGTATGCAGTATTTGACAGAAAAAAATTACGTTAAATAAAGAGTTTATTAACTCACTGAGATTTCAATTTTGCCGCATATATTAACTGTTATATCAACTGTGCTAAACATCAGGGTTGAAATTTGATTTTAAAATTGAAATATTTTTATAGACCATCTTTTAATTTTATACTTTTATTTTGTCTCGAGTAATTTATTTCGACTTTTTTTCGATTTTTGGTAAAAATTTAGTCACTTGAGAGAAAATTTTTTGAGAGAGTTGCTGTCATTATATTACATTATATTATATAAAGAGAGCGCGAAATTTTTTTTCGTGAGTGAGTTTTACGATAAGAGTTATAAATATTATGTTAATGTCACATTTACGAGTAATTTCCAATACGGAATACGTTCTATTTAATTATTGAATATTCGTATTTTATATAACCTAATTGTACTTAAAAAAAAACTGTTTTATAATAGTTATTGTCATTTTTCTAAAAACACATTATATTTTTTTGCCCATTTTATTTGCGAATAGTTTTATTATGCTACTATATCTAAACACGTGTGAAATAAAATTTTAAAGTGTTTTCTCAAAACGGGTCTACAATTTGAAATAAATATATTGAAAATTATATAATATATTTATGTACATTATATGGATTTTATATGTCAACTATATCTCTCATACATACAAATTTATTTCAACTACACATGTGTTATTGATTACATTCAGTTTTGATTTGCAAAAATTATAGTTTTCAAAACTTTTATTTTAAAATTTAAGAATATTTTACTATTATTATTAACACTATCCACTATTATATTTACGTTATACATAACTACTTTTTGGAACATTTGGAAAATAATATGGAAAAGAAGTTTGGCTTTTAATGTCACTCTGTCTGTCTTCTAATTAGAATAGGAAATTTTTATATCTTTCAAAAAAGACGTGTAAAACTCAAAAGCAATCTTGAAATTTCGTAAGTGCATAAAAAGTAAGGAATTGTGATTTGCTATCTTAAGAAACTGTAAACAAATGTCAAGCTGTCGAATTGAAAAGTTAAAATTCATCTTAAGTTCTTCTTCTCTAAAAACAAATATGTTACAGAAATTTTCCATCGAAAATTGTCAATAATTCTGTCGAAAAGTGTTATTCTAAGTGATTTTCCTAAATTATACGAACCATAAGAGCGTTTTCATTACTGAAAGTTGTGTTAATAATGTACATGTAGACTTAAATTTTGAAAGGGAAATGTGCTATTTTACCAGCCATATGTGTCTTATCGGCCAATATTTAAGATTATGGTTCGATATCCTTGCCTCTCCATTGTTTTTGAATACTTGCGTCATAGTAATTTTTGAAAATATTTTATTATTAAATATAATATTAAAAAAAATTATAATATTAATAATTCATACAATATTGTTTGATAATGTTTATTTAATAATAATATTTAGTTAAATATATATAAAAAAAATAAAATAGAGACTGATTTGTACAGGTGAAAAACCTACTGATAACATTTAAATAAATTTAACGAAAGTAAATAAATTAATTTTTCTTTGACAAGAGTTTTCTTTGAAATAGTGTTGACGCTTACGTTCATTTGCATGTGTGATTAATCTTAATTATCGATTGAAGTTGGCGTTAAAATACTTATTCTACGTCTTTTGTTTAAACTTTAATGCCTTTATTATTTCATAAAAGCATATTGCTCGTACAGGGTTTCTATATTTTATATTCAGTATAACTTAAAGTAAAGTAGGTGTGTTAACATTTAACAATAAAGTTGAAGCTTTAATTTAATTTCGATTATAATTCCCTAAGTTTTCCCTTAAAAACTGGCTCTGAATTGAATAAGCTTTTATAAATAATAATGTTGTGCAGAGTAAAATAATAAATTGATTTAAATTAGTGTATTATTTTGATATATTGTTTGTATCATGATTGCTTATGGTTTACAAGGTATATCAAAAATCATTTTACTGACGAGATATTAAGATGTATGTAAACAGAACATTTTTCATGTCGATTATCATAAATCATAATTTTACAAAATATTGTGCAATATTGTGAGAGTCTGAAAAATGACAAATACCCAACTATTTGAATAAATATGTTTAGGTTATATACGAAAAAGAATTAATATGTTTTTTTGATTTGACATTTCTCACAGCTCTGATAATGAAAATTAAATAAAAAAATTTGCTAACGTAAGCTAAATTAAAATTTGTTTAGAATTATCGAAAAAGAAAATTATTTATACAGCTTTTCTTCTATTTCTTTAAAATATTAAAGTTTATCAAAATTTAAAAAAATAAATACTCATGCATATATTATATATATATATAATTATACATATATATACATATATCATGAATCTATGTACATTAATACACATATAGTTATTTATTGAATTTATTATACTAACATTTAATATTAAAAACAAAATAAATAACATCGAATATATAAACAAAAATTTTTTCTTTTGATTGTATAGGTTTGAAAATTTTGAATATTTTTCTTCTAAAATTTTAAGATTTATTACAGTATTTTGCAGAAATAAGCTTAGTCCATCTTCTAACGTAGAATAAACACCTCAACTTGTCAGTAGGTCTGATTAATAGAAGATGAGGAAACTTATAATTTTATTATTAGTTAGTTTAGCAATTCTTGTAACATTTGTTCAAAAGAATGATGCTATATCTTCAGGTACCAGCGTTACCAGTATGTCTGGTGTTGGATACACTGCTGCAGTTTGGTGTCCAATTATTATGTGCGCGTCAGCTGTAATTTCAACGGTGAGTTATCGTTAGAAAATTTTTTCTTTTGAGATTTTATTAAAAGAGCATATCAGAAATTAAATTATTTACTGAGTTTATTACTATGTTATTTAACACAATAAAATTTATTGAAAGTGAATACCGCTTTGAAAGTGATTATGTTAAAAATTTTATAATATTAATTGCTATTTAATTAGCCAGTTATTTCACAATTTATTGTAATTTTTGCAAAGCAAATAGCTAGGTATGGCAAGTGGAAACGAATCTACCTCGCATAAAAAGAAAAATTATAGTGATAAATTGAAGTCAAAAAATTTTAAAAATTAAGTCTACTAAAAAGTTTTTTTTAATCTTCTGCAAAAATTTTGTTTTATGCGGATGCCTGGTATTACTTGCCATTCAGGCACGCGTGTACATATAAGTCAAAATTTTCAGTCTTTTATTTATAGGCATGCCCAAAAGGAAAAATAGCTTGCATAATTTGTGAGACTAATGTTTAGTGAGGAAATTAATTATTTTGTGTTTTACAACAATTATTGTAAGCAATATTAATTTCTACAGCGTCAACATTGGACAACAGCCTTTAGTTTTATGCTGTTTTAATTTAAAAATATTTGCGGTTCTATATAAATTTACAATTATATTAATTTTTATAGAAAGGAGTTTTAACAACAGCTACTTGCGTCAACAATTTATCTCCCTCTGATATATTAGTATTGGTGGGATCAACAACATATTACAGCGGTGGACAATTTATGGATATAGCAAAAATTATTCAACATACAGCTTTTAACCCAACAACTTATAACGCTAATCTTGCCATTCTTGGTTTTGCAACGGAATTAGATTCAGGTACTATGAGCACATACGGTATTACTGTGGTACCACTTTGTACCGCAGCAGCTGCAACAAACACATACGGTACAATAACTGCTTATGGAGCAATCAATGCAAACATGGATTTACCCGATAACATGCAAAGGGCTTTCTTATTAGTTTTACCTTCATCAATTTGCACTACATATAAACCAAATCGTTTAACAACAACAATGTTCTGTGCTGGTGATAGCACAGGTAAAAAAGATTTATGTCCAGAAGATCAAGGTGCTCCGTTTGTAGCCACTGGTAAATTATGTGGTAATTACAATTGGGGATGTTCATGCGGTAAGTTGTTAAAGAATGAAAAACTTTTTATTTCAGTTAATTTAAAATCATTTTTTGATTTGTAATTTATTATTTCGTGTTTAAATTTTAGGCTTGGCAGCACCACAGTACTCAACACCAGTTTTCAACCAGATCTATCTTTTCGCTACTTGGATTAATACTAATCTTGCTACTCTATAGATAAATAAATAAAATAAAATTTAGTTTAAGTCAACACAGCCTTTAATAAATTAATGAAACAAATGTATTATAAGAACGAAAAATAAAAAGATATACACCTGATACTGTACTTATAAGAATAAAATAATTATAATATGCACTTTTCAATTATATTGTGTTAATTTTAAATTGTCTGAAAATATGTGTATAATTTGTAAGCTTTCACAAAAATGGAATTATAAAACATAAATTTTCGTGCTAAGAGTATCGGCACATGGAGCCAATGTATTCTACACGCATTGCTGCAGTATAAGCAATTTTTTTGAAAAATCTTTTCTACTCAATTGCAGTAGACAACAAAATTGGGTCAAACCAATAGTTTGTAATGTAGCACTTTTCTCATCAGCAAGTGAAAATACGGCTTTTCAAAGCAATCTGTGTACTACATTATTAAAATTACTTTCATTCATACACGAATATATATAAGAAATTGCATACATTTGGGATGAACAATGCGTGAAATTTTTGAAATAAAACAAAAATAAAATTTAAAGAGGCATTAACGTGATGCTAGAATTTAAGGGTATGTGCGTGAGTTAAAAATAATAATTATATTCTTTAATAGCAAGGAAAAAGCTTGCGGTTTCGGAAATATAAACGGGAAAAGATTTTTTAACAAAAGTAGCTAACAAAATTAATAAACTTTGTAAAATAGCAAAGCAACTTTCCAAGTGAGAATTCTGCTTTAAAAAAAATAGAGACGATAACATAATATTTTTAATAGAATCTAAAAGCTGCAAAAAATTCAGACTTCGACAACCTGTTTGATAGAAGATAACTGACATTAAAATTGGGAAAAACGGGCTTTTGAGAGCGGTTAATTTTAGTAGACATTTTTTTTTTAATATTCAGTTATGCTGTGCCGTTGTAAAAAAAAGCCAGCCGCAACTTTTTGCTTTTGAAAAATTTTAAAAATGTTTGTTTAAAATAGGCTTCTTTAAAATAGCTTTTCTAGTTTAATAAGTTTCTAGTAAAGAACCATTTATATATTATGAAATTTCAGCTTTCTATCATTAAGGATGTAGAAGTTTTGCGAACAGGTTCACGGAGGGATGGACTGACAAAGGGAAACTGTAAACATTTTTTTTAAAATTTTTGAAGAGTTCTTAAAAAAATTAAATTAAAATAAATGAAAGACGACAGACAAATAATCAACATCATTAGCACCAAATCCATTAACATAATTTTTAAAATTATTTAAATATTTTTCAAATCCTCAAAATATTAAAAATTCATTTTTTTTTATTTTTTTAACGTTGTGTTTTTATTGTTTTTATGTTCATTTTGTGTCGAAAAGAAAAAAGCCCATTTTAATTTTTAGTTTCTGAAAAATTTGATTTTGTTGTACGTAGCGACATCTAACGAAAAAAGGTTTCAATTCATAACCTCTTACTTATTTCTGTTTATACTTGTTTCCGTTTTTATAACAACATGCATTTGAAAATTATAAATCTGTATAAATTTATTATATTAATCGATATAACCGTTATCTCGCGGATTACATTTGCAACATTTCATCTAAAACGTAAACCTACAAATATTGCTTGAAAGTAATTTTTATAAGAAGATGGCGCTGCAAAAAATTAAAAATAAAATTTTAAGTCGAAACCAGAAACCAACATTTTTATTAAGTTTGTGTTGTACAATTCCAACAGATGGCAGATTTTATTATCAAATAATAGTAACCTGGTCCTGAAACAATGATTAGCGATTCTTAAAACCAAGCGACTGATTTTTTATCGACTGAAATTCATCAAATAAATTAGAAAAAAGTTTAAAATTTAATTGAATTTAAAGTTTTTCTAAAAACGTAAAACATAGCAGACATTTAGGAGAAATCATATTACTAAATAAGAGAATTATCTTTTATGATACAAAAATAAGTGATTTAAAATTAACAATAATGGGATGTAAGTTCTGAATATTTTTGCAGGTTAACAATATCCTTGCCAATTTTTAAACCAGTTAAACCTCTCATGAAGTTAAATTTGATGAAATTCGTTACAAATTATTGCACCATGGGAAAAGATATAACAATTATAGGTAAAATAATTCCAAGATTGAACGAAAAACCTAATTCGAATCCCCCCCGTACTATTAATTTCAAATTTTAAATGATTAATAACAATAAGGTGCGTTTTTTTTTTGTGAACTCCTTCGAATTGTTTTTTTTCTTGGTACTTTTTGACTTAATAACTGATATTTTAACTGCTACCTTTTTCTTCTTAAAGCTGTTAGTTCAAGACAAAACCATATGCAGGTATTTCTGAAGTCATTCCTTCCTGATGAAATAATTTTCCTCAGCGTATTTTATTTTGCTCTTAACTATAAAGCAAATGTATATAATTTATGATAATCAAAACTACTTTAAGGCTTTCAAAATTTCTAATTAACAATGATTTTAAATGAAATTCTGTTGATATTACAAATTTTTTTGATTGACATTGGTTATTAATGAAATCCCGGACAATACCAGCTTCTCAAGGAGATTTTATCAACCCCAGTTGAAAACCAAAATTTAAATTTACAATTACTTCCTGAGTGTTAAATAATATTTTAAGTTTCAAAAAAAGGAAACGAATAACTTACTAAAAAAATTAATGAATCTGATGGCTGCCGCTGTTATATAACGAATACATATTTTATATTACTTCTATTCAGGTGAAAATATTTCACTATATATCGTTCAGGAAATAAGTGTTTTAATGAGCGTTTTTCTACCTCTAAACGTTAAGATTAAGGAATGAAAGTTTTCTTTTTTTTTATTATCGATTCTTACAACCCGTCGAGAAATAAAAGAGTAGATACCGGCATAAAATTCAAAAGGTTTATGCCATTTAGTTGTCAAAAATGTGCTATTTTCAATCCCGCAAGTAATATGAAGATTTTGGTTTCCAATTCTCAATTATTCTCAAACTTTTATAAACTCAAAAACACGCTCAAAATTATACTTCAATTCTTGTTGTTTATTTTCTACATATATGGTTTATTAAAAAAGTTCACAAAAATATTCGATTCCAGTTATGCTATTTATCTTTGTTTAAATTTTTTATGTTTTCACTTTATTTACATTTTTCATTATCAATTAAAACTAAATCATTCTTTAAATTTTCTGTTATACTTATTAAATTTTCTGCAAAATCTTCATCCTTGTTAACATTTTCAACATGATTTAATATTTTGCTTGTTTGTTCAGAAATCTCCTCCCAAGCATATGCAATATCTGATTCATTTGGTTCAAAGCCACAAATTGAAAATCTTAAGAAATATTTATCATTAACTTTTGCTTCAATCAAATAAATTTTTTTACGTTCTTGTAAATTTTCAAGTAAACGTTTTGTCAATTCATTTGAACCTTTTATTTTAAAACAGACTAAACCTAAACTGCTCTTTGTAATTGTTTCAAATCTTGAATCATTTTCAATAAATTTTTCAAATATTTTTGCCAAATGAATATGATTTCTTATAAATTCACGAATACCATCACCACCCAATGTACGTAATGTTATCCAAACTTTCAAAGCTCTAAAACGTCTACCTAATGGAATTTCCCAATTTCGATATTCTGGTGCCCATTTTGTTTGATTTTCATATTTGTTACGTAAGTAAATTCTATCAACATTAAAACTATTTATAACATCATTAGTATCTTTATACCACATTGCACAGCAATCAAAATTTGTCCGCATAAATTTATGTAAATTAAAGTTTAACGAGTCAGCATATTCGAGCCCACCTACATTTAAAAAAAAAATTAAAATTTTACTGCTTTTTTAATAATAATATAAATATATATTCTAATATTTGTAATATTAGAATCGTATTATCAGTAATAATAAGAGATTTTTCGTCTCAGTTATGCTTAGAACTGTAATTATTATTAATGAAAAATTCATACTCATTATTATTTACATAATCGAAAATTAAAAATAATTCCATACACCTTAAAAATACATTTAATTTTTATTTAATACAGAGTAGGTTTTTAAATTAATTCGTCTACATTTATCTATCGTCATAGTGAAATTATACTTACTCAACAAGTGTTTATATTCTGGCAAACAAAATGCAGCTCCAGCATATGCAGCATCAATATGAAACCATATATTATTTTCTACACATATTGGACCTAATTCAATTAAAGTATCATGTGCACATGTTGCTGTTGTACCAATTGTTGCAATACATATGATTGGATGTAAACCATTTTTTAAATCATTATTAATTTGTTCTTTTAATGTGTCACCACGTAAAGATAACATTTCATCGGTTTTTAATAATTTCACTGGTATACCACTTAAGAGACCAGCTTTTTCAATACAACTATTACTTTGTTCACTTGAATATATAATCATTTTACCATATAATTCTGCATTCGAATCAATATTGGGATATTTTAATTTTAAAAATTTTAATGCTTTGTTTCTAGCTGCGAGAACAGCTACAAATATTGATTCTGATGCTGTACTTTGAATTATTCCACCACCAGGTCCATTCGTTTCATTTAGAAAATAATCAGGAAGATTTAAAAATTTTGCCAACCAATCCATGACAATTACTTCTAATTCAGTGCAAGCCGGACTACAAATCTAAAAATTGAAAAAAAAAAACAAAAATATTTACTAAAATTTTCTATTTGGATTATGTATACATACATACATTATGTACATCCATATAAATGCTTCAACATTCAACAAAACAATAAGAAAAGTTTTTTAATTAATTAAAATAAAAATTTAATAATATTGTGCACTGAATAAAGAATTGAGAAAGATAGAAGAATAATAATTTGAGTCTTAGAATATTAAAAGTGATCGTCAAGCGTCAAGTCTGTGTATTTCATTTTTTAGTTTGTGTAATTCTGTTGGAATTCGTTTTTGTAAATTTTCGCTGAAGTGCAAAAAAAAAAAGTATGTAAAATTTTTTTGTATTACTGAAATTTTTGTTTATAATCTGTGCCCTTAATATAGCTTCTACAGATTATGTAATATGATGAACTCAGTATAAAAGAAAATTTTTGTTTTTCATTTGTTTTCATTGAAAAGGTAAAGGTTATATTTACAAAAGGTTACTGTTGATCTTCAATGAAATTGCAAGTTTTATTATTCAACTTCCGTGAAGAAATTTTGAATTTGTTGGTTAACTGTTCTTTTGTTTTTCAAATATAATCAAAGACAAAATCAGTTTCAAGTGTCAGTTACTGTAAAATTCTAATTAACTAAATTTGCTTCAAAACTACTTTAAAGAAAAAATAATGTCATACATATTGGGTGTTTCGCATAAGTTGACAAATAATTTCAGGGATAATTATTTGAAAAATTTCCAACAAAAATTTGTATTGGGGGATTGCTCTATATCGCATGGTTCCGAAGTTATTAGCGTTCATTTATATGCAGGAGAAATTTGGTAGCTTTTTTCAATAGGCTGTAGCTCAAAAGTGAGTCCCCCTCACAATTCTTGGCTGGAAGCCGGTCAAAGAATCATCTCTGACATGCGGAACACCCCGTATAAGTATACATATATATATATATATATATATATTTATCTACCAGGCCATCAAATTGAAATTATTTTTTCAAATATTCCGAACTTACAAAATTTACAATAACCTTGTTTAATGTTTTATAATTCGTTCAATTTTTAATTGTTTTAATTTAGAAGTAAATATTCTCATTTTATTTGGTATGTTTTCAATGTAATTAATTGCTCTTCATTTGGAAGACAAGAAATATTGAATTTTTTTATCAAATTTACCAACATATTTCTTTCGAATTTGAATATTAAATTTCAATTCCAAATTAATTATAGAATGAACAGAATTAAAAGATTTTGGTATTAGTTAATTGCCTTCTTACAATATTTTCCAATATCTCCTGTGATTTTCTTGTAAATTTGGAAATTACTATTGATTTACTTGATGAACTTGGTAGCCTGATACCTATGTATGTACCTAATATATGACATGAACAGCAAAAAGCTTTTTAAAAATTTTATAACTTTTTCACTTTTCAAATTATATACACTCTGTAGGAGCTGAAATTTTTATGAGGCTTATTTTTGAAAAAATTTTTCTTTTTAAATAAAATAAAAATAAAATATAAATAGGACCAATATACATACATGGACAATGTATACGAAAAATTGCAGAAATTCTCAACGATTCAATTTTAATAAAAAATTTTTGAAAATTTTATTATGCTGACATAGATGCACATGCTCGATAAATATTATGATAAAATTAAAATTGCTTAAAAAATGTATTTTAAACTTACCCAATTAAAACCGACAACACCAAGACCAGCTGACAACAATTCACCAACAATTGAACCAAATGAAGTTTCTGCAGGATAGTATGCATGAAAGTTAGGTGATTGCCAATGTGTTAAACCTGGCACAATAATTGATTCTAAATCATTTAAAATTATATTCCAATTTTCAGCTTTATTTGGTATTTCAGATGGTAATTGATTGTGCAAAAATCCTGGAGTTACAGATGGTAAAACATCTCTAAAAGTGTAAATATATTTCGAAGTACTTTTATTAACGCATAATTAAATATTAAATAATATAATCACTGTACATACGATATGTATTTAATTAAATTTTTAATCATACTTCTTACGTACCGTTCTCGAATATTTTGCAAATAATCTGCTATAAAATCAACGGCTGCTTTACCAAATTCACGAAAATCATTAAAATCCATTTGTATAAATTTCTTTTTATTAAATTGTTAGGGTTGTTTCAAATAATTTTTAAAATTGTTGCTACTATATTTACACCATTACTCAACGACAACTAATTTAAACTGAAAAGTTTTGCTTATAACACTTTTATATTTATAATTACTTGTAAAAAGAAAATTCTATACAAAATGGCTTAAAGTAAACTTCAAACATATTTGGAGTAAGTAAGAACGAATGAAAATTAAAGCTTTTTTTTATCATTGCAAAATGACATTCTTAAATGAAATTTGTTTGGCTTTTCAAAAACTTTAATTATAGTTGGATGCACTGCTAAATGACTTCATTTTTTAAAGAACTTTCTCAAAATAAAGTACATAATGCAAAATTAACTGTTTTAACACATTTTTTTAATATAATATATACAATTACAATTCATTTAACTGTACTACATAATTTGCATTAATTTTATTAATTTTGTTTGGTCAAAATTTCACATGAAAATTGTCAAATGTGATTTGCATGGAAAACAATAGTATATAGAATTTATGTAACAATAGAGTAATGTTAATGTGGACCTAGAAAAATAAAAGCTTGGTTTCTAGAAGAAGTTAATTTTATATGATCTGATTTCGCACTTAATGTCGTTGATTACTATAGAACTCAAATATTAAATTTTTAAAAGTTACACCAATTAGTTCCTTATATAGATACAAAACATAAAATCGGCTGCTGGGAAAAGTTGTGTTTCTGAGCCTTTCGATATTCCCGAAATATTTACTGGTTCATTATTTTAATAATTAGAGTATAAATTTTAAATTTTGGGTAAATTGGTTGATTATTTCTCAGTGTGTTAGCAAAAATGTAAATTTGCTCTGTGATAAAACTGTGAAACCAGTTGCTTATTTCTGATGTCCTTGAAAAGTTAGATGGCAAAAATGGAAGAAAAAATTTTTGTTTATTACTTCCTATATTTAAACATTTGAGACTGCCACAAAATCAAATAAAAAAAACAATTTCATATCTATGAAAAATTAATGAAACTGGTGCGGCCAGAAATCTTATGGTACAATTAAAAATCACTATAGCAGAAATAACTACTACGGATAAAATATATTGTTTAATATAAGTAAAAAAGAAGTCTAGCTTGCAGTATATTTAACTCTTTAAATGAACTATATGTGTGGCAAAGTCGGTTCTTTTTGTTAAGCGATCTTGTTGAAAGCTAATTATTAAATAAATACCAAACTCAATGTATAATATTAAATTCCTCCCTGATAGCCAATCCCATAGTTCCTCTTTGAGGGAAATAAACAAAAGTAAATAACTCTTAAAAGTACCTTAGAACAAATTTGTTGAAGAAAATAATCTGATCATAAAACGTGAATATGAATATTATGCTTGTAACAACAAAAGTTTCTATCGAAGCAAATACCAAGATATTAATATTTTTATTGAAGGATTTTATTCTGAAAGAAAGGTTGCATAACACCAAATATTATAGTTGATTTAAATAGTTCCCCGCGAATTGGCACACACCTATATATTTAACTGCGAATAACAAATGTTTTACATTTTTATAAGACGGTGTATGAAATATAAAATAAAAAAAATCTGATGTGGTCAGCACATAACCGACCGCATTGTGTATTGTCTAGTTCAGTGAAAGTGCTACGGAATATTATAAAAATGTCTGTTAAATACTTCTCCCCAATATTCGAGGCGTTAGTAATCTTATAGTTCACATACTAGAAAAATGTAAATTTGGCTGTTAGTAGAGTTTCGATTTGTGCTACCCGAATTCCCTGAAATGCTCGTCAGTTAATTTCGGTAACAACCAGAACCCAAATATCAAATTTCAAGAAATTCAATCAATTCGTTCGGTAGATATGGTGAAAAATGTAAAATCGGCCGCCGATCAATTTTCAGGCCCTGATCTTTCCAAAAAATTTATATGTTCATTGTTTTTTAATACAAGGAATTTAAATATTATATTTCAATGAAATCGGTTGACTATTTCCCTTTATATACGCAAAAATGTATACTTGGCCAATAGTAAACGTCCAGTTGCTGACACCTGATTTCTTCCAAAAATCTGTAGGATTAAATAGGAGGTCTGGCGGAAGGTCGAACACAGACCGACAGACCGATAGGTTGCTAAAAAAAGTTTACGTACACTTCCCTACTATGGAGAAGTGCATTCCCACCGAAAACTCGATATGCAAAATTTGTTGCCATCAGATAACCTAGCTATTGTATACACAATACGGTCGGTAATAAAGGCACATGTATACTAAAAATACAAGGTTAATTTTTCTTCGTCCAGCACAGTTTCTTGTTCTTTCCACAGCAGCACATAAATTCGACAAAAATGTTAGCAAAACGTTTTCAATGCCAGCACTCGTCGTAAAATCAAATTGCTTGGGCCTAAAAATTTTATTTTACTCATTTTAACATTCTTTCTCAGTTTATACTAAATTTATTTACAGAATTTAAAGAAATTTTCACTTACAGTATCTATAGCTGCAAATTAATATTATATACAGCGTATTCTTACACATAGTAAACTGTTGTGTAAGAATATCGTAATTTTAAATAGGTAGCTACTTTATGTTTAAAAGCTCAATATAAAATTCGGAGAGAGTGAAATTTCTTGCTTAAAATAATATTGCATAAATTCAGGAAACACAGTTATTTCGCATTCAAAAAACGGTTTACTAAAAGGTTTTCTCTGGTAAACTGAGTAAAATTAAAAAATTAAAAAATCGTTAAATTTGTGTTTTAATTTTCATAAAATTTTTATAGTTTGATTGTACGAGTACATAAAAGTTTTGAAAATGATCTTTTTAATGAGGAAATCTTTATTCATATTTTTCATCTTTCATTCATTATGCTTGATTTCATGGTTTTTTAGTTGAAGTTTTCTGAATTCTGAAATATATTCACCATTACTAATTTCATTGAACAGCTTATCTGTACATTTACGTATTTCATTCCATGAGATTTCTATATCATTTCGGTGTGGATCATTACCTCCGATCGAAAACCTTAAATATGTTAAATTTTTGGTACAAGCACTAATTAAATATATTTTTTTTCTTTTCGTTAGTTCTTCTAATAATTTCGTTGTCAAATTGTTATTATTTTTGATACGAAAACAAACTAAGCCAGCTCTTCGTTTACCTATGATTTCGAAACGATCATCACTTAATAAGAATTGTTCAAAATATTCAGCTAATTTGAATGTTTTTCGTACATAATTACGAATCTCTTCCATACCCAGTATTCTCATAACAATCCAAACTTTCAATGCTTTAAAACGTTTGCCTAATGCCAATTGCCAATTTCTATAATCTGGTGCAATTGTGGATTCATTTTCATGATAATGTTTCAAATAAATTCTATCGACATTAAAATGTTTTGAAATATCAAAAACATTTTCCAACCATAAAGCACAACAATCATAATTTATTAACATTGATTTCGGTAAATTAAAATTAATAGAATGTGCATAATTAAATCCATTTTTGTATGGAAAATCTAATTCGGGTAGTGCGTTACCAATAGCAGCGTATGCTGCATCAATGTGTAACCATATATTGTATTCTTTACATACAGATGCCAATTCATCAATGTTATCGAAACTGCATAATCCAGTTGTACCATATGATGCAATAAAGATAATTGGAATTTTATCAGCATTTAAATCTTCAATTACAGCTTTTCTCAATATTTCACCATCAATTTCAAAGTTTTCATTTGCTTGAAGTAGACGTATTGGAATAGCAGACAGGAGTCCAGCTTTTTCAATTGAACTATTACTTTGATCACTTGCATATCCAATAAATTTTGATAAAATTTCATGTTTTGAGATTTTCGGAAATTTTTTTTGCAATTCTTTAAAATTTTTTTCACGAGCAGCAATTACACATGTTAGAATGGCATCACTGGCCGAATTATGTAAACTGCCACCACCATTTCCAACAGGTAAATTAAGAAATTTTTCTGGAAGTTGTATAAATTTTGCAATCCAATCACAAACAATAGCTTCCAATTCAGTTGCAGCGGGACTACAAACCTTGGATACAAGTAAAAAGAGAGTAATTACTAAATTAGCATAGAGTTTCAAAATAATTCTTTTTTAATAATTATTGTTGTTGCTTTAACTTAAAAATTTAAATTAACAACCAATTTAAACAGGTCGATTAAAAATTGATTTTGCATAGTAATCTTTAAGAAGAAAATTAAACACAAGTCATTGTCGTCGAACAAAATCACAAGAATTCCGGTTCCAATTGTTCCTTTTATTCATAAATAATTTTTTATATAAAAATTAAACTATTGTAATATTTTTAAGTGTAACAAAAAATGGAAAGCTTTTACTTTTTGATCAATTCTACTATAAATTTTATTTTTTTTTTGGGTTTTTTGCTCAATTACTTCGTAATATATGCTCAAGATGTCAGAATAACTTTACGTAACAGCGATGCGATAAGAAAAAAATTATGTGCTAAGAAATTACTATATTCTTTAATATAAGACTAATTGAGGATAACAGTTTTGATTGGGGATTTACAAAATATATCAAAAACCACAAAATTTTAAAATAAAATCATTAAAACCGCTAACTAATGATGATATCATGTGATTTTAATTAATTTCACTGCTTTCAAACTTACCCAACTAAAATTTAAAACACTTATACCGGCCGCTATAAATTCTGCTACCATTGATGGATAAGATGTTGTTGTTGGAAAATATGCATGAAAATATGGTGATTGCCAGTGTGTTAATCCAGGCATTATAAATTTATTAAAATCGTCGAGTACATTGTTCCAATTCTCTGGATTTTCAGGAGCTTCATTCGGTATTAAATTATGCAAATATCCTGGTTGTACAGACGGAAGAACATCACTGTATATAATCATATTAGAATGTGTATTTACATATTATTATAATTACATAAATTACATAAATTATAGATAAAAAGTGTAAAATGTATATATTATAAGTAAATTATAATGAGCTTTTCTACCGTTCACGAATATTTTTCAAATAATTTATTATAAGTTCGATTGATGCTGTAGTAAAATCACGAAACTCCTCCGAATTCATTATAGTTATATGTAAATTTCAAAGTACTGCAAATAATAACAAAAATTTTATCAATTTTAATTCTAAATTTAGATAATGCTTTCAATTGTGTAAACAATCACGAACTGAATTAATTGCTATCCAAACAGAATTATTTTAATATTTTATTAATTACGAGTATATAGAAAATTATATAGGAACGGTACACTAAAAGGAAATTCAGCTTATTTCAACCTGCATATTAAAAGGTATTTTAATTTTACTGCCATGTTATTTCAATTACTTAAGAAAATTATATAAGAAATTTTTTTTGCTCTTTTGTAATTGTATTATAGCAACAATAGGGTTACCATGAGAAGGAAATAGAATTCTGAGATAACTAAAACAAAAATGTTTGTGTAGCCTCTTGGTATTTTAATTACTACACATTTGTATATGTAGGTGGTTATTACTAAAGTTTCAGTATTTTAATCTCCAAATTATAAAGCATTTCATTTAAGGGTCTGTTGTAAGAGTGTGTTACAATACTATTCAAAATTAAGTAAATAAAATTGTCATAAGAATAAGCATAAGAAATTTTTGATAAATTCAAGAAATTTTTTAAATTCCAAATTTTTAATTCTTTAAATTTAAAATTCTTGCCGATCTTGATGTGAAAATTTCAGTGTTTTATTTATTGCACATAAAGGCATATGATCGAATTTTTCTTTGGGTTTTCCTTTATAGCTTACCTTTAATCTTCAATAGCTAGAATTCTTCTATATTATAAACGAAATAAAAATAAAAAAACGCCGAAATAAATTTCAAGATAAATGATGCGTTAAAATAAAATTTTTGGATTTTTTTTTTTATTTTGTGAATTCCGCATTTAAAGTTTGTACTAAGGCAGAAGAATATTCCAATTTTTTAAATTTATATTCCAAGGTTTGTTTATTAAGAAAACTTATTACATAGCTACATACATTACGTATTTATAAAAAAATCAAATAAATTTCATAAAAAATTATTTAATTATTTTATAAAATAAAAATTATTTTATTTTATTAAAAATTATTTAAATTATTTAAGCAAATATTAATATAGAGGTTTCGAGCGGAAACTTTTCATGTAAAAAATTATTCGAAATTTCAACAGGTTTTGATGATCTAACTATTTGATTACTTATAATAACAATGTGTTTAATTTTTCGAATTCAACCTTTTCAGAAATATCCGCTAAATTATAAATACTTTGCTAAATTTTCTTTAAAATTTTAAAATTATTCATACTCCAATACTTAATTCAATATTTACTTCCAATCAAAACCTAATAAAAATATTCACGATAATTTTTAGTAGTTAGAAATGTCTATGTTATGTCTGGAACGTAAATAATTTAATAAAAAATATCAAAGGAAAAAAAAAACACGTAACATTTACTGCTTCCCTTTCCCACCATTTTCAATCAATAAATGTTTTTGTAAGCTTTTTGAAATCTCGTTGATAATTTTTTCATCGTTGGGTCTGCATTCAATTTCTGTGTACCGTGGATGCGATGCAAGTAATAAATCTGTTTGCTCTTTTATTTCGTTCCAAGCAAAATCTATGTCTTTTTCCTGTGGATCGAATCCACATATTACAAATCTTAGAAAACTTTCACCACGATGCTGTGCTTGTATTAAATAAATTTTTTTTCTTTCCATTAATTTATCTAACAGTTTCTTATTCAAATCGTTTTCACCTTTCAATTTAAAACAAACCAAACCAAAAGTACGTTCTGCTACAATTTCAAAACGTGAATCTTTCATTATTAACTTTTCAAAATATTCAGCCAATTTAATGCGTTTTCGTACACTATTTCGAATTCCTTCTGCACCAATTGTTCTAAGTGTAATCCAAACTTTAAGAGCTCTAAAACGTCTACCTAATGGTATTTGCCAATGTCGATAATCTGGTGCCTTCTTAGATTGATTTTCAAATGAATGTTTTAAATAGATTCGATCAACATTAAAATTGTCAACAATATCACCTGCATTTTTCAACCACATTCCACAACAATCAAAGTTTACCATCATAGATTTATGTAAATTGTAATTAATTGAATCAACCGTTTCTAAACCTTCTTTATACGGAAATTTAAATTCTGGAAGTATCAATGTAGCAGCCGCATATGCAGCATCAACATGTAACCAAATATCATGTTCTTCACAGATTTTTGATAAACTAACAATATCATCATAAGCGCATGTACCGGTAGTTCCTAATGTTGCTATACAAATTATAGGAATTTTACCATTTTCAAGATCTTCTTCAATTGCTTTTCTGATAATATCACCAGTTAAAATTAAATCGTCTCCGGTTGGTAACAAACGTACTGGTACAGCAGCTAATAAACCTGCTTTTTCAACGCAACTATTACTTTGATCACTTGAATATGCGATTAGTTTTGCTCTAATTTCACCTTCAGTCAAATCAGGGTTTTGAATTTGAATTTTTTTAATAGATTTTTCACGTGCTGCCAATATAGCAACTAAAATTGCTTCACTTGCTGATCCTTGAATTACACCACCACCAGGACCATCAGCTGTATTTAAAAATTTTTCTGGTAAGTTTAAAAATCTTCCAACCCAATCCATTACAATTGATTCCAATTCTGTACATGCTGGACTACATATCTATGTATAAAAAATAAAATGAAAAATAAAATTTAAATTATAAAAAATAATAGGTATATACATGTAATTTGTAAAATTTAAATAAATTATAATAAGCATACCCAACTAAATCCGACTACACCAAAGCCGGCTGATAACATTTCCCCTACAACTGATGGAAAAGATGTTGCTGTTGGATAATATGCATGAAAATTTGGTGACTGCCAATGTGTTATGCCAGGAATTATAAATTTCTCAATATCTTTTAGAACATCTTTCCAGTTTTCTGCATTCTCTGGTACTTCTGTTGGCAATAAATCATGTAAATATCCGGGTGAAACGGATGGCAAAACATCACTTTATTAAATGTTTAAAATAAAAGATTTCGTTTAGCATTTTAAAACAAACAATAAATTTATACAAATAAAAAACAAATTTCCATACCGATCTCTTATATTTTCTAAATAATCAGCTATAAAATCAACTGTTGCTTTACCAAATTCACGAAATTCATTTGGATCCATCACTACAATTTTGAATTTTATTTATTGTTCACTTTTGTGGGAACCAAAAATTTCACTTTTTTATTAATTCCTTTTTTTTGTTTCTGTTATTTAATACAAAATATTTTTAACTTAAGTTTTCTTTTATTTACACAAGACAATAGAATATTTTTACATCACCAATCTACCATTTTTCAATTCATCAATATAAATAAATTGTCACTATAATAAATTATCGCTTTTCAAATACGCGTTAATAATAGAATTGAAAAGTTAAAGAGAAAATTTTGGAATACTATTTATCAGCTTTTTGATTGCGTTATTTTTTCTTATATATTATTTAAGTTCAAGATCAAGATCTTTGTTAATAAACAAAACCAAACTTTAGGGCACCAAAAAGAAGATGAAGAAAAAATTAATAATAATTTTTAAATTAATTTTAAGACACTTTTAATCCGTTGAAGTTTTCTTAAAGACTGGTTTGCAGATGGAAAATTTTTTCTTTAAATACAACCGTAAACTTTCAAAACAAGAAAAGAAAGAAAAAAGTACCAAAAAATAAAAGCATTAATTTAAATGAAATTTTGCATTTGAGAGAAAGTGTAAGTTGCTCTTTCTTCATATTTTGCTCTTGCGAGAGGAAAAGGAATTTTTAAACGAAAACTTAAAGCTAGTGTAATCAATGGAATAATAATAAATCGCCTCACAATTTTAAAACTTCTATAAAATTGTTCTAAGGTGTAAAAATGTGCAGAAAAACAAATAAATAAAAAAAAAGTTTGTTAAACTTTAGCCGCGAAATTCAAAATCGAAATTAATTAACATTTGCGTCAAAAGAAAGAACCGGTTTTATATTATAAAAAATTCATTTCTGTAAATGGTTATAAACACCTAAAGTATTTTATACTTTTATACATTATTCTATGTATGCAGTAACATTGCCATCAACCTTTGCCAAAACGAAAGGGAATTCTATAAAAGTTGTTTGCTTATCTTAATTTTTGCAAATTATTTGTTTATAAATAAAAACAAACACTCTAAAAGCTTTAATTATAAATTTTGATATTGAAATTTTTCAAATCGCTGATCTTCTGATTCTATTCTAATTCTATGTATGTACATAAGTGCAAAATAGAATTCGCCTTTTCAACCATGTCAAAATTTATAAATAGATAACCTGATCTAAACCTTTACATTATAATACTCTTTTGAATTTATATTTCTTCCAAGTCCAAGCTCATATTATAATTTATTAAAATAAATAAATAAAAATAATAAAAATAAGAATTTGAAAATATTATTCATTAGAGATATGATCGTGAATTTAGAAAACATAGCAATCGTGAAGTGTCAGGAATCAAGCAAAAATTTAGTATAGAAATTTAATTCAGTACTTAAGTACATGGCAGTGTTTAAAATTTTTAATGTAATTACTTAATAAAATTTTCATTTTTCAAACTATTTTGTTTTTCTTGAAAGTTTTGAATACCATTTTTGGATTTAAGTTTAGCTTTTGATTATATAAAAATTTTAAAATTAGAATGTTTTCTTTATTTTGTAGAAATTTGTAATGATTATACTTGTTACACTCAAATTGAGTTATCAAATATTACGGTCTCATAATTCATTTTGATTAAAGTAAGGTTAAAGGTTACAGAAGAGCACGTAATTTTAATAGTACAGAAATCTACATTTTTTTGATAGTTAATTGACTTATCCTTGAATTAAATGCTTATATTAAATAAAAGATCAGTTCTACTCATCTTATTTAATATAATTCTACTTGTATAACAGATAAGAAATCGTATTAATAAAAAAAAACCAAGAATGTACTCATTTATTCCATCTCTATCTTAGATGTGCTTTAAGAACAATTTGAATTAAGATTAATGTAATTATTAAATTTCACCTACTAAGCTTATTGTTCACAATTCAACATTCAATTTTTCTGTAATTTTATTGCTCTCGTTTATTTCCTTATACAATATTGAATGCATAAACCGCATAAAACCAATGCGTGCAATAAAATATTTCAAAGTATAATAAAAATATAATAAAGCTATGGAAAATAGCGCGAGAATAGCTTCATTTAAGGAAAATCAGAATGAAAATTGGTATTTTGGATATCGTAATAATAATTTTTTTTATGTCTCGCACCTTCCGGTCATAAAATTACGCTGTAGAATTCATTTAAATTCTCTTTTCTTCCTTTTTTTTTAGAAATCATTAAAATCTTTAAATGAAAAATTTTCAAAACATTTTATTTACACTATATGCACACATTTTAAATGGAGAATTTGTAGACAAATATCGTAAAGCTTTGGTTGTTTTTATCATTGCGGTGCGAAAAGAGAAGAAAAGTTATTATCCTTTTAGAGGATATTAAAGGATATATGTATTTGCTTATTTTTCTTTACTTCTATTCTGTTTTTGAAATGAGCATTACATCATAAAATATGCCATTTTATAAATGACAAAGAGTCACTTTTCTTCTGTTTTTATGAAAAACTTTTTTATAAGTTTAAAAAACCCACCTGTAACCTTTAAGGTTTTTAAAAATGAAAATTACGCCATCAAATCTTATTGAAGTGAAAAAGCCATAAAAAAGTTTTTTTGTATTTCTTTTTGTTTTTTCTTTTTTACGAATAATGTCTGTAAAAGAAAGAAAAAAAAAGTTAGAAGAAGTTATAAAATTATTATATGAATTTATGACAGTTACATAGTTACAAACTAATGTGTACATACATATACATAGAGATATACGCTTAGACGATCTTTAAGAACAAAAGAAGGGCGATGTGATAGAAGAAGATAGAGGGAATTAAAGTTTTAATAAATTACTTTTCGTTGTCTATTTGAATTCCAAAATCAAAATGGTAGAATTGAGAACTTCATAGCATATTAATTCCTATACTTTTAGGAAAATGTCCGCTTTTCTATAAGATTTTAATTTTTTGTATAAATAACTCACGTTTGCATAAAACTTTTAAAAAAGCTATTCCCTACAATATTCGGAATCCACACGAACTAATTAAATTTTAAATGCGAAAGAACATAATTTATCGAAATATTTTATCAAGTTAAATTCCGAATCAAGAAACGTTTTTCTCTATCGCACATTTAAATGTTAATAAATTAACACAAAATTTTTATATTCTACTTGGCATTAAGAGTATTAGGAAATATTGTTTTTATACTAAGTTTTTCATATACCCTTTCCTACTCAATATCATTGTGGTGGAAAATATTTCTAACATTTTTTTTTTTTCATTACAATACAAAAAAAGAAAAACTCAGATTTGTGCATGGAAACCCTTAAAATCAAGTAATGTCAAGAAACAACAAGAAAAAATAAGAAATTCAATAATAAAAAGAAAATTATATGAGAAAATTGAAAAATCCCATAAGAATTAAAGATTTTAAAAAAGGCAGAAGAAAAAGAAAGCAGAAATATATTCCAATATAATCAGATGAGATTTGCATCATTTCCTCCCCATTTGTTGTTTTCCTGATTCTTTTACTTCAACCATATCATTTTGAAGATTTTTTCATTTACTTTTCCATTAAGTTCTTTACTTATATAATTTAGAGTTCTCTTCCCGCATACATACAATAATAAAAGAAACTACTATCTTCTTTCGTTATTTTATTTGAGAACCAAAGGTTATTTCTGTTTGTTAACAATGAGTAGGTATTCATTTTTCCAAGTAGTATACGGCAAACATTAATTTTAAATGATGAGAATATAGCTCTACTATTCGTAAGTTTTTGAAAATCTTGAAAAGAAAATAAAGAAGGATACAAATTTTCTCTTAAATTCAATTAATAATTGATGTTACCCAACCAAGGTAGATAAGTTGATCTGGTGTACAATCTGGAATTAAGAACTACATTGAAAGAAAGGAATCTTATAGTTATATGAGTTTACACGTAACAAATCTTTTTTATACTCATAAATAAACATACCTATGTACATACATATGTGAAAGTATATTAATAAGGTGAGGTTACCAGATCGTCTGTTTTGGCTGATATTCCGTAGTGATTTAAAGATCTTTTGTGTTTTTAACTTTTTCATAAAATAATTTAAGTAAGTAAATTTTGTGATTTCTAATTAGAATATGAAGTGTTCTTTAAATTCTTATAAAGTAAATTCATACCTTCAATTTTGTGTAATGTTAAATAAATTCAAAGTAATTTTCTCTGTATAAGAATAATATGTATATCTCTTGGATACACAAATGTATAGGCAGTGAATCGAGAAACTGATCCACAAAATATGAAATTTGCTACCATCACAACATCTGCGTTATTGTATACAATACAGTCGATATAAAATAATCAATTAATGGAAACGAGATTAAAATACTAAAAGACGAAATTGAATAGAAGTATTATAAAATGTCCTAACAAAAACTCAACCTCTATAGTCATTACTACGCAGCTTTCTCAAAAAAAAAAACTGTCGTTTTTTTTCCATTTATTACAGTTTTATTGTTTGGAAAGCTATGGAGACATCTGCAGAAGCTTCAATAGGCAGGGAGCTTCTAGGATATTATAACAGGAATGCTTTAGAAAGATAATAGGATTGGCAGCTGAGGATTCTCACTGGTATCTTGATGGGGCATGGCATCATGGGAGTCACCTTAGGAACTTGGGCCTAGAAAATGAGGACGCTTACAAAATTTGTGCGGAAGATGAGAAGATCTCAGAGCACGGTTTGTTAGATTGTGGGGTCCTCACGCGCTGGAAAAATCTACGTACTTATTCCAGTGCAGCCGTTTTTTGCCGGACATTTCAAGTTACTCGAATACATTAGAGAAGTGAGCCTCGAGTAAAAGTTGTCAGGGCAAATCCTACACATAGTGGGAGAGCACAATATTTCCTATAATGATGGTCGCAAAGCACTGTTCTGTAATTTAATATAGTCTTAACCTTAGTGTCTGAAATTTTGTTAAATTAATTTTTTTTTCCTAATTCGTTTCTCAATTTCATCAACATTCATTTCATAATATATTCGGCTCAACAATATTATAGGAGTTGATTGAATTTAAGGACTTAATAAAAATATTATGTAATTATATAATAGTAAGTAATATCGTTTTGAATTAATGAAAACGGCAACTCTAACATAAACACACATTTATGTAAGTGTGCATGATAAACGTAATAAAATTATGTATACATAAAATCACTTTCGCTTTTCTTCTTTATTATTTTAGCTAAACAGTGTACAAAGTTTGTTCAAAGTATGTGCAATTATAAGTATATACATAAATAAATATATTTAATATATATATACATAAATTCATTTATACGAGTACGTATACATAATTTATATATGCCTAAATAACTAATATTCTATTGTATATTAAGTCAAGGAATAAAATAAAAATAAAGCAA